TCATGCAATTTGAGATGTTTTATTTATGTGTATGTTCACTTGCATTTTATTGCTGTAGGTGATTTATTTCATGTATTTGTGTGGCCTATGCCAGGGTTTTAGTCCCGTAGAAGGTTTCCCTGGCATGGTCTTGTTGGGTGCGTTAATATATATATTTGTTCTTGTCATTCCTTAAGCACAAAAGTTCTGTCTTTTATTTAATTCCCTTCCCGATGATGTCTCATGTCCCAACACATAAAAGAACCGATTACACAACGTAGGAGTCCATTCGTTCCACTCATATCGAGTCGACTGCCATCCAAATGCAAAAGTGCCGCGAAACGTCCATCGTTTCGACTTGAAAGGTAGGTAGGTGGCTCTGCTTGTAGTTTCTTGCCAGAGTTGCCAACGGTAAGTAAGTATAGGGTAAGTCAACGTTTTCAGTGTCGGCTTGATAGACCCCTAGGAACATTACAACCTTATTGTCCGAATCTATAACCCCATGTGAATCATATCATCACGCTCAAAATAGAAGATGCGCATCCTCGATAGATACTGTACCTTCTGAAAACCGATGAAATGACAAAATTAAGGGGTACCTATAACGGGCCATCAAAAATGAGTTGCTGTCGAGTCGCCTGTACATTGTTGACAATTGGACATCAATGTAAATGCATTATGGACTCGTGACGTGCTGCAATTATTGTGTACGCTAATCGTCACGCGTTATTATTAATATACCTACTTGAATTCAAATCTGATACCAACAACTTTATCAATGTAATATACTGTACACGTTTTTGTAGATAAAGCCTAATCTTATCTTGCATACGGACCCTTGTGGCAAAGGAAAACACTACTACGCCACGTGTCTTTTAGAATTGAATCACTCAACGCTTTTAGTAAAATAATGTCTTATCTAAGTCGCCAGGTGTCTGTTATCTTCAATTAACTATTGCGACAACCTGACAATATCAAGTACCTACCACTATTAAAATGAAGAGTACCTAAACAAAAAATAAATACGCGTCACTACCGGTTGACGAATATTTACCAAAATTTAATCAATTATGTAGTTTAGTCTCTTGACCATTGTCTACCTATTGCTAAAAACAGAATTGGAAAAGTCGAAACCGCTAGTGAGGTATCGTGTCCACAGACGGACGGACGGATGAACAGAAAGGCCAAAATCATACACTCTCTTTCTGTCGCTAGTTAATAAACAAAGATCTGGGTTGATAATAGTGAACTGTAAGTAGAACTGCAAACCAGGAATTGGAACCCATATGAAATAAGGTTCCGGTTCCGTACTATCATCTTATACAATGGTACCTACTATTTAGGTAGAATTATTGTTTATGGGTTCCGGTGCCGGTTCCGGTTCTGTGGCTTCAGTAATTTTCGGTTCAGCTTCCAGTTTTTTCTTCCTATCCAACATTCGTTCATTTCACCTGTCAACTGCCTGTTTTTTCTACTCTCGTTTTCTTCGGTAGTAGTTTCAACTATTATTTTCCTCATACACTCTTTAACCCCCTTCCTGTTTTTGATTCGTTTCCTGTATTAGTTACTCTCAAATATTTTATATTTGTTTAGTATAAAGGGTTAAGTTGGTAGAAATTAGTGGGCAGCCCTGAATAAAGTGAGAATTTGGTTTTTTGTTTTTTGAAATTTTGTGCACATTCTACAACTCTGTTGGACGTTATGCAGGAGACAAGATTTTATTCTTGACCATCAAGACGATAAAGGATCCATCGGCGATAAGGAATGAAAGCGGATATCACGTGTACTTTCCAGAAAGTATGATATGCTGACACATCACACAGTATTCTCGACACCCTTTTATTGACAAATAATATAAACTGATTAAAATACATAACTTTGCCAATAATAACAAAGATGGCCATGTATATTTTCAATTTAAAGCACCCTGTATACAAGTCTAGCTGCACGGGCGTTGTTTAAAATGATATAAGTAGTGAAAATCAAAGTAAGCCATATTTTTCCTTGACTTCTGAGTCGAAGCATCACATTAAATTGTTAGAAAAATCTAAAACTTGGGGTCTGTGAATCTTTGAGCCTGAAAATAAATAATTCACACTTAGTTTTTTGAAAATGTCAGAAAACTACAATTTTTCGGCCACACTAAGAAAAGCGTAACAAATACCTAATACCGCTAATAAAGTCTACATATGGACATAAAGACGCAGCGAAAAACTGCGTACCACGGTCACGTTCTACCAAGAATATACTATGAACGACAAAATAGTCAAATTGTACCAAATTCTGCTGTTATTGGACATGGAATTCAGGAATTGTTAAGCCGCGGCTGGTTGTGTGTGATGAATTATTTGATGTTAAGGGCATCCATGGTCGACTATCAAAAGAGCGCTCGCTAGAATAAAAATTATCAAAGTCCTCGTGTGAGATCGAAGGGACTTCAGCGCATTTTTGTGTGGCAGATCAGTATTCTATTAGCCACTTTCGACTCAACCATCAATAACATCAGATCTTGTCGAAGGCTACTACATTCACTAACCGTTTCCCACTTTCCCCGTGCACCCGCAATTCGCTTTTAAAGTTTGACTTCACCATCAGTAAGATAGTGTCGGGGGCTACCACATTCCCTTTGACGGTACCCACTTCCGACGTCCCGTTCACCCGCAATTCGCTTCTATTGGCGACACGAGAAAAAGAGACAGCGATTCGAGATTTACGAAACGTTAAACCGCGTGAGTTGGCAACGGAAGGTAAAAGGCGCCCGAAGTTGACTACTTCTCGAAGACGCGCGCGCGCGCTTCGCAAAAGGTCGTTAATTTCGCCCCTAGGACAAAAAACAAAATTCCGCCACGCAGGAGTTGTGCGCGTTTACAACATCTTTCCGACGACACCAATTTGAAAAGAATCGGACCAAAACTGTAGTAGAAGATAGGAAAAAACTGAAAAACCTTCACGTTAGTATACTACCCTCGAGGATGACGCCCAGATGTCGCCAACCCCACATCATGTAGCCATGTCCCTAAGGTTGACAAATTTCACGGCCTTGTAGATACACGTACACCCGTTGCCTTTCTACAAGAGTTCTTTTACGCGCCCACATTTGCAGCCAGCCAGCCAGCCAAAGTGAGATTAAAAGCTACTTTGTACAAATAAATTTGCAAAAATGCGCTAAAAATAATTGGGAAATATTAGCGCTCAACGTGGGGCATCCAAAGTGTGTTTCGTCAAAGAGTAGTGCCACAGATTTACATATACTACGATATGTCATGCCATGAACCTTTGAATACCCCCCACCACTTCATTTTTAGAGATACAGCAATAATTGTCAAACAAAAAAGGTTCAGATTATCGTCGATTTCAAAGACCGGCCATTTTTTTTGTTAGGCTAATATAGCGGAATTCACAGAAACATCACTTTTTTAGATTCCAGTAAAGTCACTAAATATAGAAAGTACCGCAATCCATTGGGCTCATGTGTTAGAGAGAGAACGCATGATTTTTGCCCAAAAATGGCGGAAGTTACCAGATTCTAGTAACTTTAATGTTAGGGATTGTTCCACCTGTTTGGAGATATCTGTGTATATTTTTATAAAACATGACAGTACTATGAAGTTAGGTTATAAAAAATTACAGCTATTCAGATTTTATTTGTCAATTTTTTTAAGTTGGCAGCAAATTTGCCCAAAAATGGCGGATGATTGCGGTACTTTCTATATCTAGTGACTTTAGATTCCAGATTGCAGTTACGCCCCCTAGCGGCCATTTCAAAAACTTAAAAATATTTTCCGGGTTTTTTTTCGTGGCCGTTTTAGTAATAAATTTTTTTACCGCAAGCCTCTACGATGGATAGCCACCCTGTACATAAATTATTAAATAACGCCCATCGTCAAGCATAAAAACGCCCGTCTTTAAGGTTCTGGCTGTTATCCGTTAAATAACATTCCTTGTATCAGTGTTGTGATGTCATTAATAAACATTCTTGTTTATACTATTTTATTTTCATATAACGCGCAATTGATTGCTTGTTTATCGTCTGTGCCCTTTGCCTTGTTTGTACCTATTATTGAAATTTGAGTATGTGAGGTTCTTATCTGACGGTGGCAGATGTCAAATCTGACAAATATCTCTTTCATGTATAGTCCACGTAGGCGAAGAGATTATTGAATTAGGACATAGTAAATTTATATACAAATCTATCACCCATCCAGCCAGAAATCGGCTGGATAACAATTTTACCTTATAGTAATTAAGGTATTAAGGGCGTTATGAATCAAATAACGCATAAGGTCGCCATGAGTATACAGGGCGTCTTAAATTGAGTAGGATAACATGGCTATCTTTGTTATTATTATACTTACAGATTCGGTTACATTGGCAAAGTTGTGTAGTTCTTGATGCTCATAGATATCCGATGCCATATTTTGAAAAAATAAATCGTTTCGTAGATAATTTAAAAAAAATGAAAATCGCAATTTTTAAAAAGTGCAAATATTTTAGTAACAGATAGCTATCGAAAAAAGTTTCAAATAAAAGTTGCAAGATTGGATGGGATAAATTCAATGAACGTAGAAAAAAAATTTTTAAAATACCTAGCGGTTTTCGAGATATTGACATCAACTTCTTCTTTTTAAATAGACGCCATATTGGATTTTTACGTCACTCGATAGAGACAAAAATTACAAAACCAGTGGTACTTAGTATTCCATTTGGGAATCAACCTTACATTTTGCCTCGAAGTTTACGATGTATTTCTTATGGCAATAATTCCATGGCCGTGTCGATGATGACTATGCGAGACAATAAAAAGAACGAATTTGGTTTCAATCATAATCAGCCATAGTATTATTTCTATAAGAAATACATTAATTTTAATTAATATAAACTGATTAAAATAAATAACTTTGCCAATAATAACAAAGATGGCCATGTATATTTTCAATTTAAAGCACCCTGTATACAAGTCTAGCTGCACGGCGTTGTTTAAAACGTTTAACTAGACACTACGGTATACATAACCCTATTATTTTAGATTGCCATAACCTCACATTTCCACTCGTTCTTTTTAAATTTCAAATACAATTACGATGGTGCGAAAAAAGATTGATAATCGTATTCGTGTCCTGATTGAAAATGGCGTTAAATTGGGTCACAGAACCCTATTTGTTGTCGTTGGAGATAAAGGCAGAGATCAGGTCCGGTATATTTACTTTTCGTATGTGCCTCATAATTAACTTTTAGGTGGTTATACTTCATCACATGCTGTCCAAAGCGGAAGTGAAAGCAAGACCTACGGTCTTGTGGTGTTACAAAAAAGAGCTCGGTTTCAGTAGCCACCGTAAGAAGAGAATGAAACATCTACAGCAGAAGATCCAAGCGGGAAAGTTGAACGTGAACGAAGATGACCCGTTTGATTTGTTTGTGTCGTCTACCAAAATCCGATATTGTTATTATTCAGAGACTCATAAGATTTTGGGGAATACTTATGGAATGTGTGTTTTACAAGACTTTGAGGCATTAACACCCAACTTGCTAGCACGTACAATTGAAACAGTTGAAGGGGGAGGATTAATAGTTATTTTATTACGGACGCTGTCTTCCTTGAAGCAATTGTATACTCTTAGCATGGATGTACACCAACGATTTCGAACAGAAGCTCATCAGGATGTCGTTTGTAGATTTAACGAAAGATTTTTGTTGTCTTTAACGTCTTGCAAACGGAGCTTAGTTGTTGACGACCAATTGACCGTACTACCATTGTCATCTCACAATCTACATGTAAATCCAGTTGACAAACCCGAAGAGCTAACCGAAAATGAAGTAGAATTATCTAACTTAAAAACGAATTTACGTGACACTCCTCCGGTGGGTGTTTTGGTTAACTGTTGCAAAACACTTGATCAAGCGAAGTCGTTATTAAAATTCATCGAGGCAATATCGGAAAAGACACTCCGATCGACAGTTTCGTTAACAGCCGCTCGTGGCCGTGGAAAGTCGGCGGCTTTGGGATTATCCGTTGCTGCCGCTGTTGCCTTTGGTTATTCGAATATTTTCGTTACCAGTCCTAGCCCCGAGAATCTCAATACCTTCTTTGAATTTATCTTTAAAGGGTTTGACGCTTTGGAGTATCAAGAACACTTAGACTACAGTCTGGTGCAATCGACCAATCCGGAATTTAATAAGGCAATTGTTCGTGTTAATATCTTTAGGGATCATCGACAGACTGTGCAGGTAAGCATATTATTTCATATGTGGACGATTACTAAATGTTATTGTGTAGTATATTCATCCGACCGACAGTCATCGTCTTTCTCAAGCTGAACTTCTTGTAATTGACGAAGCTGCTGCTATTCCATTGCCTTATGTGAAAGCAATGTTGGGTCCCTATCTGGTTTTCCTAGCATCAACCATTAATGGTTATGAGGGCACGGGGCGTTCCTTATCGTTAAAATTACTGCAGCAATTGAGGATCCAAGCAGTACCTGTGGGAGCAAATACAAATATGGCCAATAAAAAGAGTAATGCAGCTGCAACGGGACGTACGTTACACGAGGTTTGTGAAATTAACTTAATGGTCCGTATGAATAAAGATAAGCAAATGGTTATACTTGTAAAATTCAAAGTAAATACTCGTAAGTGCCCCTTTATACTGGTTTGTTTAGCAGCGCTGCACTGCGTCCTGTCCTTCTGCTTAGCAGCGCTGCTAAGTCGCCCAGTCCGAAGGAGCACTTACGAGTATTTACTTTGAATTTTATAAGTATAAGCATTTGCTTATTTTTATTCATATGGGCCATGACACATTCGAATGATTGTAAAATCAGCTTCAAGTGTGGGTGAGAATGGGCTGCTTCTCGCTTCCATACTTGGGATAGGCAGCCAACCATACATATACAGTAACATACAGGGTGTCCCATGCCAAATGCCGGTTTCTATAACTATCCGAATCTCGATCCGAATATTTTGAAAATTTTTGAAATAAAATAATAGTGTGTGTAATTGTATGCGGTCAACTACACCACCTATTCCTGCTAGCTCTAAAAAATCTAAATTGAAACTTAGAGTTTTTATAATTTTTCCTCGCACACTTCTGGTAGTTACTACAAAGAAAAATCACAAGGTTGACCTACATTAATGATTTGGGAGGCGCGGTAGCCTTGATCATCTGAGAAAATTCTTGGACGCGAGAAGAAAAATTTGACACGAAAACTATCCGGGTCGCACCAAGGATTCGAATAAGCGCACAATTAATGACAAAAATTTATTCCAAAAAAACAAGAAATGAAGAATTCCTGAAAGAAAGAAAAGCTTACAAAACTTGCTTGGAGAAATTACGCTGCACCAGGTGTTCGACAAATAATATAAGAAAATCTGAAAATTACTTACAGTTTTTTAGCGCATTTTTTCTACTACTTCTAGAGGAATGGTCCTAGAGTCCTGGAATTTTTTGCAGCAGGTAGCCTATCTATACCTTGAAGGTGTGCCAGACGGCCATCAAATTTCGCTGTCTAAAAGGCCCCCCCCCCCCACGAATTATTTTCTGAGATGCTGTTTTTGAAAGTAAAACGTGCATAACTTTTACATACGATAACCAGTTGGTATCAGAGTTGCATACGTATGCCTTTAGTGGTGCCAAGTTAAACTTTAAAAAATGAGGGGAGGGGGCACATGTTCTACCCTTCATGTTATTCTAATGAAAGGTCTCATCAAAATAAATTTTTTGTACAAACTATAACTTACCCGTGCGACTCTTTTTCGAGATCAGTGAGCGACGGGGCCTGGGGGGGGGGGTTAAACATTAATTGTATCTCATTGTATTCTAATTAAAGGTCTCAACGAAAGGAACCGTTTTCTACCAATTACTGCCCTTATTTCTGTCCTCTTATCAAAGTACGGGGAGGAGGGGAGGGACTAGTTTTACCCTTCATGGTACTCTAATGAAAGGTCTCAACGAAAGGAATTAATTTCTACCAACTATAGCCCTCCTCCTCGACCTCTTATCGTGATCGGGTATATTCCCTTATACCTCAAGAACGGATTGTCGGGTAGGGTACTCACAAAGGGCGATTGAGACGTCTGCAACAAATATATCCATTGGATTGTGATAATCAAAGCGCACTTAACTCCACCCATAAACGCTGACAGCTTCTGAACTTCGCTGTTCTTTAACATAGAAGCTCCGCCCCGCGATGAACGGTTGGTTGCCTATCCTATCTTGACAACAGGCGTTTATAGTAAAATCCATGGTACAATAAGACAAGGTATGCCTATAACTAAACGCAGATGACGTTTTTATCCCAATGACGTCACAAGAATCACCGCCAAGTTTGAAAATGACATACGCTTCATACTTGAATTAGAAGTGCCATTGCAATTACTCAATTAATTTGGTTGAGTAATCATACTGAATGCATCTCGGAATGCATTTAGATATAAATATAAGGCAACAGAGAAGCTAAACGTACCACTTAATATACTTATTTCAGAAATTTAATTAGCCTTTTAAGTTTTTTTATTGCCGCTAGAGGTCTCGTCCTTATTTGAAAACGCTAATATAATTTTTACTTTTTTTACTTACATATTTTATTGTAACTTTAAATATTTGTATTGATAACATGCAATAATTGATACTTGGTAAGTTTAATGTGAGAAACTTGACGCAGTTGACATGGATTGAACAAATCTTATCACATCCGTCAAGGGGATACACTTTTATTAACTGGTAGGACTAAACAAACCTCATTACTTTATTGAACGGTAGAGCCAAGTTATCCCAATGACGTCACGTATAAGCATACCTTGTCTTATTGTACCATGGTAAAATCTACGTTACGCGCGGTCTAGTGAGTCGTCAAAATTGCGTTGGGGTCGTATTGGTGGTTCAGCCGGCAATAAATTAGATAACGAAGAAGGGTAATGGAGACACGCATCAGTCGCTGGTTGTGATTAGGAATTAATATTGTTAATCGCGGAGGTGGTATCTATTTGTGAAAAGAGATTTGCGAAAGACTCATGTGCGTTAATTGTATTCGTTGCGGTGCTCACGATAATTAATCGACGTGCATCCGTTTGATATTTAGAATTATTTATGCAAAAACTTCGATTACGGTAAATTAAATTCCTTGTTGACTTGTAAGAATAACAAAGTCAAAGAAAGTTGAAGGGGTTTTCAGTATAAACAAATTAACATAGATAGCATAAAAATATCCGTGTAAAAAAATCGCCAACCGCTCTCCGAAAAACTGTGGTCAACATCCCCAGTATGAACTTGCCACTGATATCTTTCACCTGGTGGAATTCTGAAATTTAAAACTACCTAATCTGGGACCAACTGAATACATAATTGTCAACATATGTTGATGGGGTTTTCCATTTCTCGTAAAGAAAGATGCTACACATACCAAAGAACACTAACCTTGTCCTAGGGGAATTTTCTGCTACGAAGGAAACTCGACGCTATTTCGAAATAATACAGACGATAAATGTATTGTGATCTTTTTGTATTTGTTGTAACTCACTAAAATATTACGGTGATGTGTAAAAATTTTCAATTAGCAAATTAAGGTTTTCATTTTATGTATATTTTGATCAGATTTAACTTAGGGGAAGGTTCACCCTCAAAACGTTCAGCTCTGGAACCTCTTTCCAAAAATTATCGTGTCTCTTACTAAATCAACAACATTTTAATAATAATAATAATAATAAATGCCTTTATTTCATTACCTTGCATAAATATATAAAGTAAATGTAAAACAAAAATAATAATAATAATAATAATAAATAGTGAAGCCCTTTAATGATTAAATTTTCAGATAACTTTAGAAGAATCAATTCGTTACAAACCAGGAGATAGTGTGGAAGCATGGTTAACAAAGTTACTTTGCTTAGACGCGACATCAGTGGCTCCAATTCTTTCCGGATGCCCCCCACCGGATAGTTGTGATTTATATTACATCAATCGAGACACTCTATTTTGTTATCACAAGGCGTCGGAGGAATTTCTGCAGCGACTAGTTGCCTTGTATGTTGCCTCACATTATAAGGTAAAGACGGTAACAGAACCTCTCAATTTTGAATTGTTCTCGGTTGTAGAACTCTCCAAACGATTTGCAAATGATGTCTGACGCTCCCGCTCATCATCTATTCTGTCTACTTGGACCAGTAAATCCGAATAGAACCAGTTTGCCCGAAGTATTAGCGGTAGTACAGGTTTGTTTAGAAGGGCAGATATCTAAGGATTCCGTGGTCGATGGATTTTCTAGAGGAAAAAGAGCAGCCGGAGATTTGATACCTTGGACAATCGGACAGCAGTATCAAGATCCGGACTTTCCTAAGCTGTCGGGTGCACGCGTTGTGCGCATTGCTACGCATCCAGATTTTCAAGGGGTAAGTAAACTTGTTTCAATATATTTGAGAAACTTCATTTTTCTGTAGATGGGTTACGGCTCAAGAGCACTCAACTTGTTAAAACAGTACTACGAGTTTCAATTTCCCAATCTGGAAGACACTGAAGAAGAGGCGGTTGATGATATCGGAAATGTTGCGGAGGAACAGATTAACTTGTTAACTGAAAGCATTGAACCGAAAAAATCTTTACCGCCGCTTCTGTTAAAGCTAAGCGAACGTACACCCGAAAAGCTCGATTATTTGGGCGTTTCGTTCGGCTTAACAGAGCCACTTTTGAAGTTTTGGTAATTTCGACTGTGGTAGTTCGTAGTCGATGTGATTAAATTGTTTATAGGAAAAGGGGCGACTTCGTTCCTGTCTACATGCGACAAACCACCAATGATTTGACAGGGGAGCATTCATGTATTATGTTGAATGCTCTTAAGGTCGATGAGGATTTTAACGATAGCTGGTTGAATGCGTATTGGACTGATTTTCGGCGCAGATTCTCATCGCTTTTATCGTATCAGTTTAGTGCATTTACTCCTGCGGTAGCTTTGGGCGTTTTGAACAATAAGGCCATGAAGACTACTTCTACATGTAAGTAAAGGAGATGTATAGTAGGATTTTCCTTAGTTTGGGCGCACGTCATCGGTGTATTATGACATCATCACTAAGTATGTTTACATAGCAATGAATGAGAAGAATACGTATACAGACGGTGCTGCGTTGTGGGTATGTCGGTATTAATACTGGCGGTTCTTTTTATACACAAATGGGAAAGGAAATTGAATAAAAACTCGCCATTTTGTACGGAAAAAAGACGAAAACAGGGAAACCTTCTGCGGGACAAAAACCCTTTTATAATCCACACGGACTAAATTAATAAAGACAACAAAAGCAAAAGAAAATCCACAAAACATTTCAAATTGTGTAACAATAAAACTTATGTCGCGAATTTCAAGATTCTAGGAACGTCATATTTTTTCCACAAACCAACGTCCATCGTTCCACCTGGTTGTTGATTTTTTTATTTTGATATTAAGTTGGCATTACAGTATTTTCAAAAAAACAGGATTGATGAAGTGCGCGAAAACTAAGGAAAACCTACTTAGGTAATATTGAACGTGTAACATGGCAAATTGTCGAAAATGAATGTTAAGATTAAGTGCCACTTTACTTTTAATGAATCTTAAAATGTTACCCGCAAAATTAATTTGCACGCTTCATGTAAAACGTGCAACAACTCATGCAATGTTATGATTTCAGTTCTTTCGAAACCAGAACTCGACGCGCATTTGACTAATTATGACATTAAACGACTAGAAATGTACAGCAATAATTTGGTAGATTATCACCTAATCGTTGACTTAATGCCCGCTCTCGCCAGACTATATTTCCTCAATAAGATGGGTGACACGCAAATCTCAGCTGTGCAGTCGGTAAGCGTACTTAAAAATGATCGCATTATTCATTAGCAGTATTCCAGGCCATACTGCTAGGTGTAGGACTACAACACAAAACCGTCGATACTTTGGCGACAGAATTGGATCTACCCGCCACACAATTACTTGCGTTATTTAATCGTCTGATCAGAAAGTTTGTGTCTTATCTTAATTCGATTTTGGAGGAGGACGTCGAAAAGTCTCTCATTCCTAGAAAGGAGGTTAATTTGGCGCCAGTAGCGACGAGCATGCAACAGGAATTAGAGGAAGCTGCAAAAGTGATTGTCTCGGTCATGTTTTCGTCGTGTTTAAATAAGTTGTTTTACAGGAGCTGCAAGCGAAACAAAAGAAAGAACTGGAAAAATTAAAGAGGGAGAATTTGGAACAGTTCGCGATTAAAGGATCTGAAGACGAGTGGAAGAAGGCGTTATCAAGTAAAGGTGGCAAACAGTTAATTACTGTTAAAAGGTTTGTATCTAAGATATTGTCTTTGAAACACGACAAATTGTCGTAGTATGATCCTCCTAACCCCACTACGCTCCCTCACAAGAACGAGATGCGCCACTGTTTCTATCCCCAATGATGGCCACTTAGCACTTAGTTTTGGTTCGCTTCGTTAGGCGGCACCACTTCACAATCGCTTGAAAAGAAAATTTCTTTTGCTATTAATAATGAAAATACTGCCTTGAAGTTATTATTTTATAGAATAAAATCTCTAAAATAAATTACTACAAAATTCACGGGCTGGATAACGTAAATTTACAAGTTTAAATTTGGTTAGGTTAAACACTTGCCATGATAGATTGTGACTTAAACGTCATGACAGTAAAAAATTTACAGATAATTCTTTCAAAGCGTTTGTCTGTAATTTGTATAATCCCATTACCTTCAGTGGATAGCCCTCTTAATAATTGCTCAACATGAATTTAAAAAAAAAAGTACAAAATAATCCTATAACAAATATAGCAAACAAGCTTCTGGGTATGCCTATATCCTGGCATTTCGTATTATATGGCTAAAGCTATGCTCACTTTGAAGTTCATGCAATTCGGTTCATAACTCACTGAGATGTCAAAAGGGCCTTCCTTATTTTTAGCGCATTTTGGGAAAAAAATACGCTATTATATTCGTTATGGCTGGCTGGCTGTCCTACTGAGATCTCAGCAATTACAATAGCTAGAGACTTCAAATGTTTACTAAAAGCTTTCTGATGTAGTGTAGATGTGCAGGCTCCAGTCTATTTTGAGTTAGATTACTTGTGAGATCGATAATTTTAAACTTTGCTAATGGAATACTGATCTGCATTACCAAAAATGTGCTTTCATCATGCATGTGCTGATTTACAACTTGTTTGGCCTACATTGCCAATTCACGAACTCCGACCTAGAAATTTGATAAAGAATCCATCTACAAAATTCCATTGTAATCGGCCCATTCGTTTTTGAGATGTGCTAATGAACAAACGGTCAGACATCGCAAATTATGAACTCGATAGGAGCTCGTTAATAAAAGTATAAGTGTAACTCGCTTTACTTTCTTGTAATGAACTGAAGTCTGTACTTTTTCTTTTAGTGACTCTACTGAATAGTCTTTAAGGATGTACGTAAACTAAGTAAAGGTATGATATGTAATGGACAATCTTAAATAAGTACCTACATATTTTATAGATATGCAAATATAGTCTGAATCTAATAAAAGTAACTTATTTCAGCGGGGAAAAACGAATGCACGAAAGTACTAATGGTAACCAGGAGATTGATACACCTTTAAAGAAGAAGAAGAAACCTAAGAAAAATAAAATGAAATTTTAAATTTGTTTTTTAAATAAGAACAAATTGAACGATTTTGTTTCTGAACTTAAAGTTTGACTACTGCAATAAAGGAACCCTTGTTATTATTTTTATTAAATATAATGTACGTACAATAATGCAGTCTGATTCTTTGCTATATCTGTTGCTTTCTTTCACATGCCAGGGGCTTGTGTTCCGAAAGTTTTCCTGGTATCGCCTTGTTGTGTACGTAATATATTCTATTTGTTCTTGTCTTTTCTTACGCACAAAATACATAAAATTTTAAGCAATCCCTTCCCGATTCTGACTCATGTTCTAACACATAATATAACTCCTAGTAGATATAGCAACGCAAGAGTTGATTCGTGCCATCCAGTTCGAGCCGACTGCTACCAATATTAAGTTAAAAAAGTAATCGTAAACGATTTACAAAAAGCGCATTTCCACTTGCATTCATTTCCCATTTGTAAAAATCCAGCCACAAATAGGAAAGATAGCGTTGCACATGTGCAAGACATTTTTGACGTGCTACTTCAATTTCAGTTTATAAGAATTTCATTTAAATTCTTCCATAAATAAAAAAAGTGGCACTGCGCATGCGCAAAACCAAATTTTGAAACTGGCGTTAGATTTTCATTTATTCCAAGTGCCTGTAGTGTACTTAACCCCCAGGTTCTATGCTAACTTCATACTACAAGAACACGGAAATACAGTCGACCCGGCAACGTTTAAAAATGAATGACTAGTACCTCCAAATTCTATGTCCAAAACTACACAAGATCCCGCTTAAATTTGAAAAGTGGCACGTGATAAAACATCAAAAGGCAGGGCTCCCTTACGTTAGTTGTAAACAACGCTAAGGTATGACCTGAAGCACAGTAGGGAAGGAACGTAAAATAAAACACTGAAAGTTTGTTTAATAATGATCGTAATTATTATGATTGCAAAAGCTCCGAAATTTAAAATCAATTACATTGCAGAAATAAACTTTGAAAATGATAGTTCACCGAATAAAAATAGAAATTGACTGGGAAAAAAAAAGAACTTACCAATAAAAAAACCAGCCGTCAAATTAATATTAAATTGTCTAGAAAATTATAATTGGAAATTATGGAAGTAAGCAGGTATCAAGATTCTAAGGGTGAAATACACAGGATGTGACTCATCTTTGATGCAATAAAGTCCTTTTGTTAAAAGCAAGATGGAAAATTACAAGACAAATTTAACTAAAACAAGATGTGTGGAAATTACGAATCGTAACTCATTTATCGCACATAGATTCTAAACTGAAGAGCTTTGATTAGCCTAATCCCGCTCCGGCAAGATAGGTAACCCGCCCCTGGTTTCGGGGTTTTGAACTTACAGTTCAATGTCGAAGACAATCACGGAATTAGGTGTCGTAACTTAATTGTGACTACAGTTTTTACCACCACCGTGACTGCTTCATTCACGGAGAACATTGTTAGTTACAAACAACAAGTCAGTATCATCAAAAACGATTTGGTAATTTCCACATATTAAAATAAAATGATCAAAACTTATATGAATGTTACTTCAGGGACAAGACCAAGTAATCAACATCAATAAGCATAAATTAAGCAAACATTACACCAAAAACGTAAACAATTACAAACAAAAGGATAACGGTATTAAACATTTCATTCTGCATTGCGGTTAAACCAAGTACATTTCAAAAATAAGATTGCAACACAAAAAGTATAAAATGCGGCATACAAAACACTAATACGATATAAAGAAATGCAAAAATTACTACCTGCATTAAATAACACAAAATAACAAACATTTATGGAGCGCCGCGTTCAGGACCGCCATTCAAGACAAGATGCCAAACGTAACCCACATTCGTGCTTTCTAGTTTCTAGGTGGCACAGGCAGCTTTTCCCCTCCTAAAAATTGCGCGATTGTCAACTCTCAAAAATGTGTGCATCGTCGTAAGTTGTATATACAGGGTGGAACCTCTCAAAGTTAAGTACGATTTCCCATGGAAAGAAAAATTCCAAAGGTGACTCGCCAGAGTTACCAACTGTAAGTATAGGGTAAGTCAATATTGCATTATTACAACATTTTACATAAAATGCTGATTGAGAGCGTGGCCTGCACCACCTACCTTTACCTGAATCATGTTTGTTGTTATACTGTACAAGTGCCTTTGTTTAATTATTAGTATTTGTGAGAGTATATTATCAGGTGTGTTGTTGCTCTGTACTAATCGTTTCTTCCTTGGAGTGAGGACCTAATACAGTTCCGATTTTTCGCTGTATATGTTGATCCCTAAACTCGTGCGGCCTCCAGCTCTTGTGTCTTAGTAGTACGAGTAGGGGGTCCTCTAATTAACATGTCTTTGGTTTGGGATGTGGATTTTCCTTGTGGGATAACAGACTTTTAACGTGAAAATTGCTTTGTTTGTGGAAACAAAGGGGGGTTATGCCAGGTGTTTTTTTCCCCAAAGGTTTTTCCTTGGTGCTGCAGAGATTTGAATGTGGTGAGAAATGTTCATTTCCACATTAGGATACTCTATAAATAAGAAAGTTGACTTTGACCAGTCTGCATATGCACATTAATATTTTTCTTGAAGTGCCAGAGCTATAACCATTGAATTCTATAACCTACCGAATGCAAAAAGAACGATCTAAATATAGTTCAGGCCTCTGACGGACGGAGAAAGTGACCATAATAGGGCCTTCTAACCAAAATACTATTATTTTATTGTCCCCTTACACCGCTCTCTTGACCAACCTACACAGGCAAAAAAAATGGATTGTAATCAATACCTATCTCAATGAAAAGTGATTCAAGTAGGTAATTTTTATATACCAATTTTATTTGTTCAATAAAAGTAACTGTGTACAATACAATTTGATAATTAACAAATCTTCTAAACTTAAGTAGTGCACAATAAAAGAACGCCAAGGAAGTAATGGCATAATCCAAGCATTATCGTCAGCGACACATATTGTTTTACAGTATATACTTCCTTGGAGCTGTAAGTTCACACTGTCAGTGCAGAAGGACAATCTTTGAGGTGGCAATTTGATTCACATGAGTAGGTAACATGATAAAAACTTTTCTATGTAAAACGTTCACCATTGGCAACACCATTAACATCTGCGAAGGTTTCACGGAGTATTTCTCCATTTGCAAGTTAGTGAAAGTTAATAACTAAATTATCACACTTGGGTAAACAGTGAAAATATTTCATACATTCAACAATGAAACCTTAAAAACATAATCAGCTGTTCTGCAAATACTGACGTAATGAGCAATTTCACTTCGATAATACATTTTAATAGGTACATACGTAAATAACTAAGAGTAGGATAATACACATATACAGGATGTCCCATGCAAGATTTGCTAGTGCAAGCAATTATATATACACCTATACTAGACATATAAGGTAAAGAAATAAATCGTAGACGGGATACCCTGTATTTAGTTCTTAAGGTACAGAATGGGTTATACAGGGGATGCTTTTGTCTATGGTCAACTAAAATCATGTTGAGTCTCAGTCATAACACACAAATGTTTCTAACTTTAGGATAACCGTAAAGCAATGGTATCCACTAACTATTTCACTCACTAATTGCAAAACTTAATGTGTAGAGTATTTCAAGTGGCAAAATTATATGAATGCCCTACTTACAAAGTGTAATTGATCTAATATCTTGTTAAATTATGTTTATGCCCCTACACAGGCAAATACTTTACAATGAATACACTTACATAAAACCTAACCGAACTAATAAAAAAATTCTATCTAAAATAAAGATTTTGTTAAATTATTTTATGACACAATTTTAATTCCATTCTTAGGAATATGTAACAAAGGCACTTAATGTTTTTGATTATTTTTTAACAAACAACATAAAATCTTGTTTTTTCTATTGTAAGTATGCAGTTTCGTGAATCTACACAAACTACATATGAGATTCTACAAAAATGGTAAATTAATACTAATGAGACTCTCGACTCCAAGTCCTTGCTAATAAAAAATGAGCATATATTAACGACAATTTTAAATTAGTAACAATTGACATGTTAAGAAAATTCGACATGATACACACATAAACAATTACGTAATGTATACAACATTAATTATGCGTGCCCTTACAAATCGGCACGGTTGATACTTTTCCATACTTAATATAATAGTTGTCAGTCACTGAAATAGTTTATAAAAATACTTGTAAATGTATCAAGGTGACGGCAATCATCATCATAAATTGTTTATTATACAGGATGGTCAATTATTGTTCAGGATCAAGAGTTTTAAAGCGATTATGACCGCAATTACCATCAGTAAGAGCTACCCATCATAAATTTATGTCGATATGGTAATGCAAAAATAAACAAAAATTGGCCCATCCTATATAATTAGCCTATTACAATTACAATGTAAACTAACAGTCTATGTAGTAGGTACGGATTTAGAACATATTGTATAAAAAGGACGAATGTCGTAAATGCTCATAGCAATTCATATTTAAATGGTGTAATTCAAAACCCTGTAATGTATTATTAGGTTTTAGTATCTAACAAAAGCAATAGGCGATATCTACTACCTGTTTAGGTATTTTTAGAATATTCTGCAGTCGCCACTACCAGGTGAACGGGCACAAATTGTAGTTTCAGAACAAGTAAAGCGAATTTGCGGTGTTTGCATATTGTATGTTTAGCCATTTATTTCCATGCTATCTGCGGCATCAGATCTCAACTTTGAGACCTCTAACAAACTGAGAAATTTACATTTTCAGGAGGCATAACTGCCAGTCATATCAGCATACATCTAATGGTATAGAAACTTGCGCATTTTAATTTGTATTTGCTTCACTTGATCAAAAACTATACAATACGTCCACTTTTCTAGACCGCCTATTTGAAATTTTAATATCAGCCTATTATCTGTTCACCCAACAGATGCAATTAAGCTCCTCCCAAAAAATTCCCGGCAAATTTAAATGAACATTTTTAATTGGCCGAATTTTCAAAACCTGTAACACAGGCAACTATTTGCTTCCAATTATAATTACCGTATCTAAATTGACATCCTCAACGTTAAATCTGTCATTGCGTTTTGTATTTGCCTTGCCTCAATTTGCCGTTAATTTCTTTTTTGCGAACAAACTAATCTTTTTGAACTTAATAAACAATTTGAAAATATGTACTGCTGTGTGTTTAAAGGTCAACATTCAAAACATAAAACTTTATAACTCAGTCATACAATGTGACATGCTATTTTAAATTTCCCGGTTTTTATAATTTTGTGACTGTGAAACGGGTCTGTTATTACATTGGCCAAAATTTATTGGGAGTGGCTTAACTGCATCTGTTGGGTGAACAGATTATAATTTGGTTTGTTTATTGTTAGATATACCAAGATATTCACACAAAATAGTGCACACTAATAGATTTTTTAGAAAAAAAAAGAGAGTTGGCACCAGAACTCCTAACCATGTCACTGGTCCATTGAAACAAAATGCTAAAAACAATCTGACCAAATTTAAAATGGGCGTGCCCAGCAAAATGAATCTCTCGCCGTCTCTAACCTATAAAAATAAATTCCGCATTGCCTGTACAAAAAGGAGCGCTTACCTTACACCAATCTGCGAAATCATTTTGTGAGGTGTACGCAGTGGTATCAAACTACCTTTTTTTTGTCAAATGAGTGATTTACAAACTGAGAATTCAGCTAACAGCTGAGTGTAGGTACCTAAACGTGTCTTGTGGAATGTGTTATTGTACATTTTTAGTCTTTTGTTTAAAGTTGAATAAATTCATCAGATAATACCCATTAAATAATATTCAGAGCACTTGATCATAAAAAAATGATGGTACAACATTAATACTGTAACCTGATTCAAGAATTTATTATCAAAGAATAAGAACACTTTCTAATCACAGATGTTGGGGGTACGAGAATAGAGAGAATTAGGTGCTTTGGAATAATAGCCATTGACATTTTCTATGAGAGAGCGTCGTTTATATAGATAATATTATTGTTAAAAACGAATTCATTGATACGCGATTCAGATTAACACTAGAGGCGCTGGTGTAATATGCAAATGACAAGGGTAGTAAATAGTAATTGGTTGTAGGGAGATTCTAGCAGGTGCCGTTTTTAGACTTCCCGAAAGCCCTTTTTCTTCAGCACTCAAATCTGGCTTGAATTAGCTTGAACACGCAATTAACTTAATTTTCTAATTACAAATAAAGATCACAATTCAATTTCTAGCGCACTCGTACAACTTTACATCAACTCGCCGACATTCCCTTACATCGATGCTGCTTTAAAACAAACTTATTATTCGTGGGATAATTACACTGACCACAAATTAAACTATAGGCATTTTTCTATGTATTGTGCTTTAATAAATAAGAATTTAAATGTTTCTTACTATTTATGGCATATTTAATCGCACAGACTGCACGTAACATCCTTGAATGTGAATATTCCGCTTTACGTTATGCGAAATTACACTGACCACAAATCAAATTTTTGAGAAGGTTGCGTTAAAAGATGCTTTTTTCAATAAAAAATTACTCCTCAGTCCTCAAATATTATCAATCAGAAATGGTGCTTTCCCAATAACTTTCACAGGTTCTGTGGCCCCCTCCATTGTCCATTTTTTTCATCAATTTTGTGCCGATCTCATTTCCATTATGCGAGATTTCTTTTATTTTTTTCCGTGTTGGGACAAAGTTCGGGTTTGGGCCCCTCCCTTTACCAAATCCTGGGACCGCCACTGTATGGCGATATTTACTAACAACTGAATCGGGATAGGTTGGTGTATGTTTACAATATTTGCTATAAATACCTCATGTTCGAGAGGGAGGTTGGAGTTGTTTAATTTGCTTATCCTCTGTTATTTGATATTTCTATAAATACTATGTCTAAATTGAGAGGGAGTGTTGTAGTTATGCAATTTGGACTACAAATAATGTAAGTTGCCATGAAAACTAGTAGTTTGGGTTTTAAGTCTATCAAACGTCTTATGATTCTTTAAATTATCCTTATTGTTGGTTGTGTAATTGCACTGGTCACATTTAAAACTACTGTGATAAAATGTGATATTGTAAACTATCCTTGCTCTTTAAGGTGTAAGATTTGCAAAAGAAATTTTACAGCCGTACACACTATTGACTACTTTTGACCATTGTAAATAAAGACACGCTATCGAAATGGCGGTCTTCTCCCAACTGTATTTATTACAATGAAGTAATGGGTTGCACATGTGTGCGGCACACTCAAGTGTGTCAAAACCGAACGACTCTAAAAATTTGAACTAACAGAACATACCCCAGTTGAGACACATTAAAATGTACCCCGAACCCATGATGCGGTCCGGTATCAGCCGCCTCAATCAACATGAAAAATGTGTGAATTGCTTAAAAATTGGGGATTTAATTATTATTATAAAAGAAGTCGCCTTGACCCATCACTATTACAATGTACTGCCACCAGAGGTCTCACTGTTAATCTGAATCGCGTATAAGAGAAAATTATTGTTCATGTACAATTGCCCAGTGGTATCTGCATAAGTTGCTTTCAAATTTATGCGAGGGAATTCAGGAATATGCTAACCTTAAATAAGCTATGCTATAAAACTTTATAAAGAGTAACTGGCAAGATCGATCCCCTGAGTATTTAAAATATAAAAATGAAAAAATACACCCAGACTATCATCAGTAGCCTTCTATATTTAACAAACCCCTTGTGATGCAGCAATCACGGTTCCAAATTTGAATTCAAACGTGACTTTGAAAAGAGAATAGTCTACTATCCTTTCTTGCCGTGTACATGACCTACGAAAATAAACCCTTAGTAAAATAACTGACAACAAGCCTTACTTTTTACTCGTCTTTAAAAATACCTGTTTTAACGTTAGATGCACCCAGCATATTTTCTTACAATCAAGTACCGCGAATCTTTTGCATTTTTTCTAAATGTAAATAATCTATTGTACTTATAAAAAATAATACTATACAGTTGTACTGGAATAAAAACGTTTCATATTAGCTAAAATCTTATTTATAAAAAAAAACATCGACTAGACCACAGTGGAGTGTGCAAATAAAAATTGTACACACACATAAGTACTCTAACATAAATAAAACATTTAAAGCTACAGATCATCTAAGAGACTACCTGTGATAATATAATTTTATAAAAATTGCTTCTAAATTAATCTGATATCAATATTATATTATCACACTCGAAATGGCCGACAAATGGCGTAAACTTCGAAAATGTTCATTCGCTACATATAAAATTAAAAATTGCAATTTACCTTTATCACTAACTAACTTGAGGCACATTTAGGCGATTTATTCGCAAGCCAACTTGCTGTCAAAACTACTAAGTGCGATTGCAAACGCTTGTAATGCACACAGGGGATATCGATAGTCCATTGTAAATACATCTTCGGCGACGCGACCGAATTGCATCACAATGTAATCGGGATCGCTATCGTGAACTATTTGGAAATTTTTAACGGACGCTTGTGTAACGCGTCCGTGAAAATTGAGTACGTACGATTGCGTGTCGTCGTTCCAAACCGGCGTTTTGTTATGTAATTCAATTATGTTGTCCATATTCTTCGCTTTCCATGTTTCGATGAGACCTTCGCTTTCGTCCTGCGGGAACATTGTGACCCTTTGAAAGTCAAGGGTCATGCCCGGCAGTATTACTGTCATTTTGCGGGGTCCTTTGAAGCCTAACACGTTGGTATCGTAAATGACCGCCGCCAGTTCTTGGCGTCTCATCGCGCCTTCTTTGTCGCTATTTTTTCGAGGGGAGATCCCATTATCAAAGATTGTAAATTGGGTTCCGATTAAATTTGATCGCAATTTGCCTGAAAGAAAAAGAAAAAACTGCAGTCCAAATTAAATACTTTATGACTGGCTACGGGAAAAAACGGAATTTCCCAAAGGCGGTACGAGGTTCCCAGGGACTGCTAGTAAATAATAATTTAATCTATTAATGTTTTCGAATGAAGAAAAGCTTCAGATGATAAGTTGTTTCATTTCATCCAACTGAAACCCTACTGCAATTGGAATGTTCTTAATTAAGCCAAAAAAAAAAAGCTAAAACACAATTAAACCATAAAGTTCTATCATCTACATCATTTTTCACTCAACTTTGAAAAAAAAACATTGAATTACGAATATAATGGGCTTTGAGAATGGGATATCGGAATATCAGAGCCTCCTTAATGAGCCGTGGAGAAGTGTCATTGGTTTTGCTCTAGGTCAAATTTTAACATCATAAAAAAATAGTAATTTTTCAAAATATTGCTGAAATCCTGTTAGGCAATTCTATACCACAAATGAAATACCCAACCCTGCTTATGTTTATAGGCGCAGCGAGGCGAGCGTATGTCTCATCAAAACCAAAAAGTGTTATCAAAGTTAAAGAATCTTATGTACATTATATGCAGAATTGAATTTAACAAGTTGAATCGAAATTTTTAAAAAATGACTTTGTATAGGTGATGTTTCCAAAATACAAAAACATTCTTCACAAATTCAAAACAATTTTCAATGGCTCTGCCAAAAGTCGTATAGCGCATGCGCAGATGTGGGATAATTTGATCAAAATTTTTATGGTAGGTTCATCTAATAAAATTGTGCAAAACATCGTATTCCGCCAAACATAGATTACACCTCCAAAAATTAATACACAAACGTATATCTCATTTTCGGCGATATTTGTACATAATGAGATTGACTATTGACATATTGTTAATTTTTGAACAGAATCAAATTTCTTTTCCCTTTTTAAAAAATTGTAACGCCAGCCAACCTTAACTTCTCACAACCACTAAGCAAAAAAAAATAAAATAAAAAAAAATAAAAAAAATAAAAAACAAAAAAAAAATTAAAAAAAAATTGACAAACGGTAAACCACATAAATAAAGAAAAAACATTTTAAAAAAGTAAAATAAATTTTTTTAAATTTACAATCGGTAAATCACATAAAACGGCGTTTGCTAGTTGCACCTAAAATAAAATAACGAGCCAAATTCGCGTTTTTCTCGAAAATCTCGAAAACGCCACAATGAAAGCGCGCCAAATTTTGGGAGCGGGCGGGGACCCGCGACCCAGCCCCCGCCCGGGTCACGTCCACATTCTCCCCCTCGGTCCCCTTCTTTTTCCCCTTGGGGGGGGGGGGGCGTTAGTGTCGCGAAGGGAGGGAATGCGCCCGTTCGACGGAGCTTCGCGTCCTCTAGCCGCCCCGAAGTTACGGGAAAACGCTATTCACTTTCAGGGGGTCAAAAGTACCCTTTCTGGTTCCGAGTTGTCTTCCTGTACGTCAGTTGACGTTCGATTCTCGGCGTCGGAATAATTTTTTTAAAAGACGATATTACGAAACTAATTTATCGATCGCCAGAGAGGTTTCTCGTAATGCACGATATGCGTCGCGTGGCGCCCGACTATCGGTAATACGTCTTCGTTATTCGAAATGCTTTTGGAAGTTCCCGGCGATTACCATTTCGGACCGGACGGGACGGGGTACGGTCCCGTTAATGTGGAGAGCGCAACTTTCTTATTTAAATTTTGGTGTTAGGTCCTTCTAACAAAAGCAAGTAGAATGCATTTTTCAAAATTCGTACTGCGCATGCGTAAAACCCCGCCAAAACTTTCTTATTTATGGAGCGATTTGCACGAACGATTTCCCAAACATCGTTTTTCGTAAAAATCGCATAGATTTTTATTAAATGATAGGAAATTGAAGGTGGATTTACGCAAATTACCAAACCTAAAATATCGAACGCGATCGTGCGCAGATACGGAAACGAAGATTTGCATCGAAATTTTCACAAAAAGTCACAGGTGATGTCCCCAAAAAAGCAAAATACGGCGCATTTCGACCTAACCTAACCTAACTGCGATCTAACGTAACTGTCCATTTCGACCTAACCTAACTGATCGGAATGGAGAAGTCCAGAAATGGTCGAAACGAATGTCCCGAGTTCTCAAACCTCTGAATACCACATTCAAACCAAACCAGGAATTTCTATGGGAACTTCCACTAATAAAAGCAAATAAAACGAATGTGCACAAAAACGCAACGTTGTTCGAAAAGTAGTCCTGCTTCCCCCCCTCGAACCACCCTTAATCAATGGCGCCCATGCGCAAAACGTAACTTTCTTATTTATGGAGCAATCCGCACCAAACTTTCATGGTAGGTCACTCTAATAAAAGCAAATAAAACGCATGCGCAAAAAACATAAACTCACTCTTGCGGAGACTTGCATTTTTACCAACCTATACGATGAGATTGACTAAAAAAGAGTTCACCAATATATTGGTCCTTTTTGAGCCGAATCAAATTTTCCCGGTTTTTTTCCTTTTAGAAGACCACAGACAAATGTGCGTCATCGCACCGAATTCAGCGGGGGATACCAAAACGGTGTTAATCGTTTATGTAAATTAAAGTCATCATCGGTTTAAAACTATGTATCAAGGAAAGGTACACATATTTAAGGCGACATGACATAAAGCTTTCATCATAAACGCCTATTTACGTTTCAAGTTAGATGTACCTACTAGTTGTCCTTAACCCGTCAGTGGTCGCTGTATGAGCAATTTGCTCACATTTTTTTTAAATAATCATAATTATTTTCAAAGATTTAGTTTCGCGCGAAGTCGTCGTCTAGCTGGGTTTTAGAACATCTTTTGTCACCCCCGACCCTCCCACGCTGTAAAACTGGTCCGTTTAGATTCTGTCATTGTTTAGTTGTGAAAGCGTCAAGCTCGGCGTCAAGTGTGTGAGCATTTGCCTCATCGAGCGACCACTGCCGTTATACTTTTTTTTGTAATCCGTAATGTATAAATCTATTTCGATTATTTATAATAAAAAAGCAATATTCATCAGAATTAAGTTATATTAATCGTTAATACAAATTGCAACATCATATCAAGTATACTAAATTATTTCATTTTGTCAAAATAATACATTTTTCATCATGAGCAAAATGATCACGCGCGATCGCTCGCGTAACATTTCACCTAGCGACCACTGACGGGTTAAAGAAAAACATGAATGAACGATGATCACCATACTCCGCTGTGTTTAATAATTTTTATTCCGGAAAACAACCTCAGCATAATGTGGAGTATTGCAGTTACACAAGCAGAGATGGCGTTACGTGATAAAATAAATACCTACTTAATTGCACAATATGACGATACCTCTCAATGACTCAATGTTGTTCCTAGATGCTCCCCTCATAAAAACCAATATGTATTTTTTTTTAATATTATTATTATTTATAATTTATTGTATAAAATATTTCGATCACTAAAAAAAATGTAAAGATGTAGGAAAGGAAGAAAATTTCATCTAAAACGACTGTAGAAGGCAAAGTGCGCATAACACTAGCAGCATTGCTGCGCTGAATAGCCAGACTAAGTTTTTGAATTAGGAAGGTTTTTTACCTTCTTTTGGTCATTATTTCTCATTATCTGTTTCATGACATACTTTACCTTTCCCCTTGCACAATTTAGTAAGTAACACTGTCACACAAATGTTTTAGGTGTAGCTGAGAAAAGCGGCAATACTGCATGAAAAAAAGGGGCGGAGTTATTTATCCTTTAGCACAGTGTTTCTCAAACTTTTTTGTCTGGCGGCACACTAAAATTATTAAACAAAATTTGCGGCACCCCTAGTATTATTATTTTTTTGCTTTTGCTTTTTTGCTCACAGTTAGTAAAGAGATGAAGGAAGAGAAGTCTTTACAAAAAAAATTTCTAAACATAAAAGCATCTAAAACTAGTTGTCAGGTAAACTCCTGACTTGACTTTCCAACTACTTTTAATAGTCATTGCAATTATCTTTGGCCGTAGTATAACATTTAGAAAATGCCCTCTAACGCCTTTATTTTGAATCCGACGTGTAGAAGCCTTTTTTGTAGACCTCATCAAGACCATCATTTGTGTAATTGACATTTTTCACTCTGATGCTTACTTTTAGAAAAAAATGAAATTTAGAAAAATAAAATAAATAGTTTCACTTTTCAACAAATTCAAAACTTCTCAAAAACAAAGGAACTCACAAAAAAATTGTAATACACTTTTTTGTAGTTTTTTAAGCCATTATATTATGGCCAGTGTATGCGAAAAAAATTTAAAACATTTTTTCAAGCCGTTTTGACACCCTCAACAAACTTGAAGATGGTTACGGATCAAAACCAAAATAGGACGTTTTCGATTCTCCATACCACCTTAGCTATATGCACCCCAAATATAAGGTTGAGAAAGTCTGATGTAATGGAAAGATAAATAGCATATGATTGATTAATGAATTATGAACCATATAAATAAATAAAATAGTAACTAAGAAACAGAATTTTAATAAAAAACGAATATTCATTTTTTATAATTATTTTAATTTCTTTTTTAATTTATGTGATTTTAAGCTTATTAAGTAAATATTTAGAAATTTCCCGGCACCCTTATGAAGTGCTTACGGCACCCCAAGATGCCGCGGCACCCACTTTGAGAACCACTGCTTTAGCAGATAGCTTCACACTGCTTTGAGACTATTGTGGAAATTATCCCGTGACCAACGTACATGACAGAGTTATCCCGGTCAAATTTCATAAAAACCCATAACACAAGAAAGCTAGGCAACCAACACAACGTATTACATAAAAATGTTTCTTGCATAATTATGCGAAATAACTATCGTATTTATTAAACAATTTTGCCTTTAAGAATGGCCGAGCCAAAGCACTTACCTACATACGAATCCCCACCTCTAGACAGATCGGTTGGGTCAGTAGAGATTAAATAATTACTGGTAGCACTTTTTTTACGCTTTCGACCTGCCAAAAGGAACACCTTCTTTCCGTACTCCTTCTCCAAGTGTAAAAAATACGTCGGATATAATCCCCTATCCATTCCCTTTCGGTCTCTTGTTATTCGGCATTTAAACAAGACCTTTTGCGGAGCTGGTTGCACAACAAACTTATCGATGTTGCCTTCAACGTCACCTTCGATTTCCGGTATCTGCAAAATGGAAAATAAGAAACCGAATGGGCACACAGTAGATTTTACCGCGTTCACTTCGTCGTTTATTAATAGTGGTTGTTCTCCTAGAGGATTAATAGGAATGTTACCGTTATTATTAGGTGTTGACGCAACTGGTGACGACTCGTCATCTTCAACATCCATTAGATCGCTGGAACAGTTTGTGAGATCTTCAATGTGAGTATCTACAAATCAATGAAATAAGCGAATGAAATTTATGTTAAATAACACGACCTTCAATGGAGTCATTGTGAGAAATAATTGAGATTACTTGATCCGGATTATTATCCTTACTCATCGAATACTGTAATGGACCATCATACCCTGTATATAATTATGTATTAAACAAACTCGTCACATAGAGTGGGTTTTTACCGTGCAATTCCCTTCTACTGCCGCTGTTTGATCTCAACTTTGCAGAGGGATTTCTAACGTCCGAAGCCTGTATCATAGCTGCACTTTGCCTTTTACGTTTAATCTTCTGCTCCATTATTTGCCGCTACAAACAAACCAATAATTGGTATCAATGGAATAAAAATCTATTAAATTTACTTGCTGCTCTAATTTTTGATTTCGTACATCCATTTTTTGTTGTTGTTAGTAAATTGACGACAATAGAAAAGTATTACGTAATTCCTACATAAAATAAATTCGAATATAAATCGATTATCTGTACAAAACTACATAAAAACAGCGGTATTTAATGTTGTTTACAAGTGAAGGTGATTGAAATATTTTACGATCACGTGACGGATGAGTCAAATTAACTGTCAATTTCCCAAGGGATCGTACACACGCGTATTAAAGCTACCACTCCACAAGTCCACACTGGGATATTATCGATTTTAACTCAAATAAAAATTAATAATTAAAGTTGTGCTGTTCGCCACAATCTAACAGTCTAACGCTTTAAGGCCCAAGTATAAAATATGTAACGATATTTTCTCGCCGATTGATTATATCGATTTGAATCCCGCTTAAGTAATCTTCGATTGTTACATTTATATTTGAATTATTTTCGCGCTAATGTATATTCAACATTCCTTACGCCATTTAAGTATTTTCTTTGTAAATCCCGTTTGTAACGATCACTTATTTAGTCAAATTTTTAGTCCTTTTTTTCTTCAATAAAGATAATGCTATCCTAAAAATGTCATAAATGATGAAACTGTATGTAACATTCCATAATATTGTCAATTTTTTAGTACCTGTAAAATGTAAACATTTGTACATGACCTATGTTATATTAAATCTGGGACTAAATATTTATCTTCTGTAAACTAAGGTCTCTATCTACTGTCAACGTATTATAGTGAGCTTTAAAAATGAATATAAATTTAATTTTAATTTTACAAATTCCCTATAATCTGTCAAAAGTTACTAAACAATTGAGGAAAAATAGGACAGGTTCTAAACATTACAAGAATAGGACAACTTTCAGTTCCTAAAATAACTACCAAAAAATTGATCAAAGTTGATGTACCTATGAAATGTTCAATTTTTTTGTTCCTAAAAATTATTTAAAAATTGACTAAATAAGGGATCGTTACAAACGGGCTTAATTCGCTAGTTTGGATGTAACTTAGTTCTGTAGTCTTATAGATTTCTCAAGTAATTCTGTTGCCGTTCTTGATCGTGCAGAGTTTCTTTAATTCCTCTCTGCGCATGCACTCCTTGTACAAAGACCCGATCGGCGATTTCGATCATGACTTGCGAGAACGTACACGCCATTACTTACTTGAAAAAATCTGGGGGTCTCTTCTGGGATATACTGACGCTATGTTAAGTTTACTGAAGTTTTTTTCTTGTTATTTTACTTCCAAGCTTCGCTGACGTACCTGCGGATTTATCTTACAAATGATAAGGCCGTTTACGGCTAGGTTTACGGTATGTTAATAATTAAGCACGCCTATATAGGTAATAGGTATACCTTTTACTTTGACTAATGGTTTTTAGGCTTCCTCTTCTTGCCTTTTACTTTTGACCTATTCTTTACTTCTTTAACACCTATCTTATTGTGCTTTCGGCATCGATACTCCTTCCTCTTCGAAATGTTCTTTTTTACAAATGGGAAAGAGGTAGGAGTCGCTTTGAAAGCTACTTGAGCTGGCAATTCTTTAGCTTACCGAATGTATTAAATTAACGTCAAATTTATATTATTCAAAGTCAAGAGTTACTTCCTGGGATTGTTAATTTCTGTATATTAGTAGTTGTGATGTAAAATCTGTGTTTAGCGTTTTCCACAGTTAGGTACCTCTCTTGCTTCAGATTTCTCCGACGAGTTCTAGGGGAACACGGCATACCTTTGGCTTTAAATGTATTCTGTCTAAATTTGTAGGAACTCTTTCGGCATTTTGATTGATTTTACACTTTTGATGACTTATTCAATAAATTTTCTTTTGCTTGCTTGAGTGCAATTTAATCTTTCACAACGTAGGGAATCCGGCCATTGTTAAGTGCGAATCTCGCGCAACATTGCGTACCAACTTTCGGCGTGCCTTGCGTGGAGCGACGCCATTTGCATTTTACAGTTGCTTAGAAGAAGAAGCAGACATGCAAATTTTACCACTTTTTTGAGGGTGGCTCCCAAACGAAACACGTTGGACCCTCGGTTTATTTGGACAAAATGGCTTGTTTTGATCCCCTCAACCACCCAATTTTTTCATACTTATATGTAACACCCTGTATATGATGATCACCACAAAATAATGAATAATATTTAAATAGCTTCCTTAGCTTGACATATAATTATTAACTTATAGAATAATTCAGATATGAACTTTAACGCTAATAAATTAATATACAATGATTATATGTAATTTAATAGCATACAAAAGATAGGCACTCCATACATATCTTTCCATTCTCTTTGTAGAAACAGGTTAGTTATAACGTGGCTCCCTCTGTATTATTTCAATGGTGGCTTTTGACATTGACAACGTGTCTTATGTCATTAGAGAGAAATATTTAATTTGTATTGGTTTAATTAAATAATTTTAAAAGATGACAAGTCAACCTTCCAAATCGGATCTTGAGGCAGTTTTCCAACGATTGCGTTCCATCCCCGCGAATAAGGTATTTAAAAATACAATCGCTGTTAATTAACCTGTACTTCCTAAGCGCACATTAAAACATACTTTGACGTGTCATTTTTATGATACCTGCATAACATGTATTTTCCAGACGTGCTTCGATTGTAGTGCAAAGAATCCGACATGGGCCAGTATTACATACGGGGTGTTTATCTGCATTGACTGTTCGGCGGTTCATCGGGGTCTCGGCGTGCATTTAACATTCGTACGTTCAACACAGCTTGATACTAATTGGACATGGATGCAGTTACGACAAATGCAAGTCGGCGGAAATTCAAATGCTGTAAGAAATCGACCTATCCCAAAATTGCGAATGCTTAACGTCTGTTGCAGTTACAGTTTTTCACGCAACACAATTGTGTCACGACGGATGCCCAGAAGAAGTACAACTCAAGAGCGGCACAACTATATCGTGAAAAAATCCAACAATTGGCCTTCAAAGCTACCCAAAATAATTCTGAGGTAAAGTATTTATCGTAATCGTTATGACTAGTTCTTCCTGGTTTTTAAGATCTTTACTTGTAATTGCAGTTGAGGAATGTGCACACCTCAGAAGAAAATAAGGTAGGCATAATTGCCTCGCCTTTTTATATGCTTTTGGCTTTTCTTTATAAGAGTTTGGTTTCTTGTACAGATTTTTGCAAAAGTTTGGAACAGATCGATTGTTTCGGAGGTAGCTACCACAATAAATCAGTACTTGTTTTCTTATTTTTATATAGTTGATATGGGCCGCCAATGTAAATATATATACAGAGTGTGACAATTATATCAAACAAAGTGGTTAACTAGAAAGGATTAAGTTGCCCAATTAGCGCAATGTCTAAAATGTTGCGGATTTACCTAGGTTTATGAGTATGCGTGTACCCCCCTCGCCCCCAGTGTACGAATGTTTTTATGTCAGGTGTAGGTAAATGAAGATAGACTATTTCTCAACAGAACATCCACGGTTACTAGATCTTACTGAATCAAATCCAAATCCAATATGGCGTCCATAAGACATAAGAAAGTAGTAGCCTGTAACTTCTACATCTAGCATGTTATAGAAATTCGGATAGCAAATTCAAGTTTTCTAAAAAAAAATGCCCATAGAACTTGCTAATGGGAACCGTCCATTTCCGACCGCTGGGGAAAATGAAAACCAAATTTGACATTTTCGGTTTTTTGGTGATATCTCGGCTATTTATAAAGATTTTTCAAACATTTCAAATGCGTTTTTTAAATCACCAAATAAAGAACATTTGCGGTAAGTGACGATTTTTCTATTCAATCATAAGAAAAAGGCATAAGAAAGTCATCGAACTATGGAACAGACTTACAGCGATCGTGCTCCAACCGACCAGCCATCAAGACTTGCGAACGCTGATTTCAAAAGTGGCGATTTCAATGTTATAGGTAGAGAACGCGAAAATGGTTGTATAAAATTTGGCGCCCTTAAGAAGAGATTTTGTCATTTAAACGTAGACATACGGAAAAACAATCCAAGTAAATCCTTATCTTTACTTCTTAGTAAATAGCACTGTAGATACTAAATATGAAAAGAAGGAGGAGGCGAAACGTCATTCGCATGGATGTGAAATGTGGAACATCCAAAACCCGTAAAAATAATGTAAAATTGTAAAGGAAGCTTATTTCAAAAAGGTTTTAAGGACCTGGGCCGATTAGAGTGTTTTGGTTAGTTGGGACAAAAATAAAATGGGACCCAACATGTTCACTGAACTCTTGGATCTCCCTATAGACATCATTGGGTATCCACAGAGATTGTTGAAAAGCTTGGACATCCATTGTACTGTGAATTCCCCCTAGGAGATATATGTTTCTATCAAGATCTACCATTTTCTATTGTCTTTTGAGATTCTGTTATTGTAATTTTGACTCCATTGACCTATTCGTCTCATTGAGACCACTCACCCTTTATGAGTACTCTTTAACTGTCTTTGAAGTTTTGTGCACAACAATAATTACTTTTGTATTCACATTCTTGCTTCAATAGGTTGTGATGATGGTTTAAAGTTAAACTAAGTAGCTGAAATTTACGCCGAGATAATGTGTTTCTAAATTGTGGACTCTTTGGTCCAAAAGAAGCATTGAAACTTAAAAGAGTGTAGCAAATGCATGAACATAGCGCGAAATGAAAATGCAAAATTTCCTTCATGACTGATTTTGTGACAAATTTTTATTAGAGGTGATTGATTGATCAGTTCCAGATTGTTGGTTAAATGTGTACGTTGCACTAGCACATGCCGACATTGATCCAAAGTATAAGATACATGTTTTGAGTACTAGTTTTATACCTAAACTAATACTTGGTGGAATAATATGCAGTCTATAAAAATGTTGACAAATCAGTTGGTTACATAACTATGAATAAACTAATCTCATATAGGACCAATTGTGTTTTTGATTTCCTGTAACTGTTGGCTTTTCTGTGCATTATTAACATTGTGGTTATACTAACATTTGTGCAGTTACATATTCATCCCAGTGTGGAAGAGAAAGAAGAGAAGGAGGTGGATTTTTTCACAGAGCAGAACACCCTCGTATCTCACCATACAACTACCTTCGATGAAACTAAGGTAACTATTTAACAATTCCAGTTACTTTTTACATACCTTTTGATGTTTGTTTATAAGTACAAGGTTTTACTATCACCAATCTTTTATTATTGAAATTACTGGCTACTGTTCTCGTTCATTTCGATAAAAAAAAGTTTCTCTTTCACACTTCTTCGTTTTCTTCTTTTTGCCGCGATGAAAAAAAAACGCACACGCTCGGATTCGAACCCCCGTCATAGACCATTATAATTTGAGAAACGGCACCCTTGTCTCTGCTTGCACGGTTTTACTCGATCGTGACTGATGAGATCAGTTTACTCCCATCCAAAACATACTGTATACTGAGCGATAAGAAGTAGTCACAAAAAGCAACAACTGTGTTTTAATTTTACAACACTAGACTTGACCCATGACACCTCATTGATTGGGTGTCTCTCACTGTATTTTATTGGTTATTTACATTCCTCCGAATAGTACCTTTTAAAATGATGTGTTTACTTTCACCATTAGACAGAACAGAAAACATCCGAATCAGATATTTCCCACAAAGAAGGCCCGACGGTTGATTTTACAATGAGTTTGAGTAACACAGAACATAAACCGACTATCGGAGCACGCAAGGTTCAACCGAAAAAATTAGGAGTAAGTGTAATAAGTAATTATTCTTTTTTTTTTATTGTTGCGACCATTTTAGTTGGGCGCCAAGAAAGGCGGTCTGGGCGCGACGAAGGTGAAAACGAATTTCGCGGATTTGGAACGCGAAGCGGCGTTGGCGGAAGAGTCGCGCTTGAGGATGCATGAAGAGAGCGTGAAAGCCGCAGCGCTGTCCGCGCAAGAGCAGGAAGAACGCGACGCGGCGGTACGTCTCGCATATCGGGATCTTGGGGCGGAGCAACAGAAGAGGGAGGAGCATTTAAAAAAAGTCGATCCTCGGAAGGCGGAACAGATGGAGAGATTGGGAATGGGTTTCCAAGCGAAATCGTGCGTTCTCGACGTTTTGCTTCTTTTTGTATGATTAGTTATTTACAGCGGTGTCAGTCACTCAGTGCTAAGTGATATGCAGACAATCGAACAAGAAAATCTACACTCAACATCCAGCAGTCTTAGTTCGCTGGGAAAACTGAGACTATCCGATACAGATGGGTTCTTTGACGAATATTCTTATGGTAGTGGATTTAGTATGAATCGTAATAGTAACTCTGGATTTGACTTGGGCAAAGATTCATTTTATTCGGACACAAGTAGCTCAAAAGATAGTTGGGTGGTTGTGGATGATCCTCCAGTTGAAATGTCCAAAAGCAGACCACGACCAGGTAATTCTTGTTCGCAAATTGTTCTATTTATTAAACACAAAATTTAGTGGATCGCACACCTACTCGAAGTAGTGGAGTAGATAGTACAGACATAGCTCAAAAGAAATTTGGTAGTGCAAAGGCTATATCATCTGATCAATTCTTTACCGATCGTAGTAATGACTATGAACATCAAACAACTTTAAGTCGTTTCCAAGGATCATCCAGTATTTCCTCTTCAGAATTTTTCGGTAACGGGAAAGGTAACTCTTGTCAGTTTCACTTGAAATTTTTTTTACAACATTAATTCCGAAAGATACTTCTCCATCTGGAAGCAAATTTCAAGCGCCCGATCTTGAAGATGTAAGAGAAAGTGTTCGACAAGGCGTAACTAAAGTCGCTGGCAAAATTAGTTCTCTTGCCAATGGCGTAATGTCTTCAATACAAGTAAGTTCTGGAGTTTTAGAGTCACACTTTAACCCCTATTTTTTAGGAACGCTACGGATACTAGCCTAATAGTGTTATTATTTATTGTAATTAGTAATATATGTTTATTATTAGAGACTTTGGTTATTGTATATGATGTGAATATTGTGTGCTGCAATTGTAAATCACACGCTTTGCTTTTAATTTTGTATATTGATTATTTTAAAGACAATCTATTTTATATGTATTTCCTTGAGTAATATTTTTAACATTTAATTTAGTTTAATTCCTTATTAAAATTTATCAAACGAATTGAGCATTTATTTATTTAATTATGGTTTTTATTTTTAAGCGGGCGGGGTTTCATCCATTCATGTTTCACCTTCATTTGTTTACCATTTTGATATTGTGTTTCCAAGTGTTGTGACCATTGTCATCGTGCAACTGCAGTGGCTACAAAGCTGCCCAGTTTTTGTGTCAATTTGTGGTAATATGATTCAAGATCGATCTTAGAGGTATGGTCGTATAAAGAGACAAATCCAACGCATAGTGACGAAGTCACTGCAACCCAGTCCATTGTACCGATCGGCTACTCAAAAGTAAATATATTTATTTATGAATTCATGGAAACTGTGATTATTTAATGTAATGTTGCCCTGTATGATTCTATTAACCGTTATATTCTTCGTCGTAACCTTGCTGCACTTTTTTATGTCTCTTTCCTTCTCAGTCCCTTGTGGTGACGTATCCCTATTGTTAGACAACACAGCAACACGGTGGAGGTCATTGAACTTTGATAACATTGAAAATGAATTATCTATGGAACCATTGACCTTGGAAATGATATTGGATTACTACTGGCACGTGATCAAACATCTAAGGCAGGGCCCTCTTACGTTAGTTGTAAACAACGCTTTGACCTGAAGCACAGTAGGGAAGGAACGTAAAATAAAACACTCAAATTGTGAAAAGTTTGTTTAATAATGATCGTAATTATTATGATTGTAAAAGCTTGGAAATTTAAGTCAAAATAAATTACATTGCAAAAATAAACTTTGAAAATGGTAGTAAGTACACCGAATAAAAATAGAAATAGGCTGGGAAAAAAAGAACTTACCAATAAAAAAACCATCAGCCGTCAAATTAATATCAAATTGTGTTAAAAGCAAGATGGAAAATTACATGGCCTTTTAGGCAAATTTTCTTGTTTTAATGTGGAAGATGAATACAAACTAATTCAATCAAATGATAACTTTCTATTTTATTTATTAATTGACAATTACTCTCAGCCGACTACTATCTATACATTCTAACACTCCGCCTCGATTCAATTTTAATCCTAAATATTTGAATCGCTTACTTTACATCTAATCAACAGAACAATAACTATAAAAAAAACAAGTTGTAAATCAGCATATGCATGATTAAAGCGCATTTTTGGTAATACAGATCAGTATTTTATTAGCAAACTTTAAAATTATCGATCTCACGAGTAATGTAACTCAAAATAGACTCTAGTAGAGTCTACACTATAGCAGAAAACTTTTAGTGAAAATTTGAAATCTCTAGCTATTGTAATTGCTGAGATCTCAGCCGGACAGCCAGCCAGCCATAACGAATATAATAGCGTATTTAAAAAGAAGCAATTTAATTTATCCATCATGGTGAACTTCCGGTACGTGGTTACGCTACCACCTAAATCTTTATAGGTATTTAGAGCCGTTTTACATGCGTAAGAATTACTACCAAAATTTACTTAAAAATTTCGCTGAAAATTTTCGTTAAACTGATTTGCTGTTTTACACGCACAATATTCTTCGCAAAATTTTATATAATTGTAAGACGAGTGCAAAAATTACTATGTAATTACTTAGCACAATAAATAAAATGAAATGAAATGAAATGAAAATTTTAACGAAAATTTTCAATACAAAAATATAGAACATGTTCTATATTTTGATACTAACAGTGTAGAAAGTGCGCGAGAATCTGCGCAAAGTCGCAAAATGGTATTGTTTAAGTTTGCGTGTTCAACAGCAACTAACATCAGCAAGGGATAAGAGAAGTATTTCATTTACACGCGGCATTATCACCATAACCTCAATTTAGGTTATAAAAACAAACCTCATACATTTTATTTTATGAACACATACAGATGGCGCAGAAGCCATATCATGAAAAGCGCATGCGCTCTGGCATAATTTTTAATAAAATTGTGAAAGTTATTGTAAGTATAAAACATAAACTAACTCGCAAATTTCAAATTTACTTCCAAAACTTTTCGTTGAAATTGTTACAAAAATGTTGGTAGTAATTCTTACGCGTGTAAAACGGCTCTATAGACACATCAAAATCTAAGTTGACTACCCGCCCCTTCGAGTTTGCGCAGTAGTCTACCGATTCTTGTACGCAAGTCACTTTCTTCCAATTTCACATTTTGACGTTCGACAACTATTCATGTTGATTTTCATTTCACAATAATGGATCAGAAACAAGAGGGTAAGTGATAACGGGTGATCAAAAATGAGTTGCTGTCGAGTCGCGTTTGGAAGTTTAAGTTAAACACGAATTCGCATGTAAACAAAAATTCCAAAGGTGATTGGACAGCAACTCATATTTGATCGCATTGTATTAAGAATGTAATGGTTAATTAATGAGATTTCATTTCAGTTTTTCTAAAAGTACTAAAAAATAAGGCTGATTTTGTAATCAAGTATTATAGTGAAGGTTCGGAGATTGTTGCCAAAGAACTACGCAGACTTTACATGAAAGAACTTGATAACTGGCACAGCTCAGAGGCGTTTAAGGGTAAGATGAGGAAAATTGAAAGGCTATAATAAAATGATTTTAATTTTTTTCGCAGAATTGATGAGTGTGACAGCTATTGAAAAATACGGAAAATTGTCTGAACATTTTCGTGCTAAGCAGTTGATGCTTATTGAAAAGGCAAAGGGTGATAATAAAAAGGACCTTATTTCCCCTAAAACATCTGATATGACTGTCGAGTTGCTCTCCGATGGATTTGATCTGTCACAGGAAGAGTGGAGTGAACTAGACAAAACTAGTGAATCTATTGCCAACAATCATTCCACGCTTATTGGAGATAGCGATCCAGTTCAAACAACTGCTTCAGTCAGTCCAGATGTCGAGAAGAATGGCGAAGAAAATGATTCAAAGAAGCATAGAGTTAAGGAAAACAATTAACTTGTAACCATACTCGATAACTTTTATTAAACACAAATAAAGATTAGTAATTGAAACGTAAAATTAATGCTTTATGATAAGAAAAATAGGATTCGTAAATATATGTCTGGATATCCAGATTTGACTTTGCAAAAATGCCATCAATTGTCGTGCCAGTATTGGTAGTAGATTTTCTTTGAGATACAAGCTTAAACCCAATTGTTTTAAGAAATCTTTCAGTCCGAGCCTCTTCTGCCAAGTTTTCATTGAAATCTCCCAATAGAAAAATGTTTGTGAAACTATTGATCAAATCTAAATAAGCAGTAATGGCATCCTTGAATAAATTTGTGTCGGCATCAGGATTCTTATAGATATTTATAATCAAAATTTGTTCTCTTATAATACAACTGGTGACTTCTATATGTTGTTTGTCTCTCTTGAATTCTCTGGCACATGCTGGCACTATCGAACTCAAGTGTGAATCTTTCACATAAATCATTGTGCCTTGAGCTTTTGCAATAGGTCCAGCAAAGTCGTTTCTACATATCTCGGTGAAAGTAGGAATATCATAAAGTCGATTATTTACTGCCCATGTTTCTTGAAGTAAAATCATAGCACTATTCATATACGTTTCATCCGGCACGATCGAGGAACTATGTTTTTGAATTGATTGAACGTTGTGTGATATTATTTGAATGAAGTCTTCTTTGACCTCTCGCAGAAACTTGTATGCTGGCACTAGTGTACAATCCCTTTCCATTCTTGCCATTTCTAACTTAACTTCATTATTATCATCCAGTTTTGCAGGAGGTACAAACTTTCCAATTAAGAATAAACCATCAAGACTAATGGCACGCGACAGTGCGACATAAAGCATGGCACGATCCATCTTGCTTGATATTAAATCTATGACAACTTTTGGCATTGACTGTCCCTGACTTTTATGAACTGTAATTCCCTCTGCAGGCACTAAAGGATATTGCTCTCTTGTAACCTGAAGTAGAAATAATATTAAAATATATGGCAGGACAGTGTATATTATTTTCAACTTACCTGAACAGTGCCTTTTCTTAAAACATTAAATGTCTTTTTGGTTTTGAATATTGGAGTCCATCGAGTTGAAATGTTATTTTTCTCCATAAATGCTCTTCGCTTTCCAATTGCTGATTTTCCCACTGATTTGTCATCCATCTGTAGATACACAGCTTGTGTTCGATTATTGACAATCTCAATGAATCTTAAAGTGCCAGTAGCACCATTGAAAAGACCATCAGTAACATCAATATTAGTTGATATCATGTACTTCACACCATAAACTAATTGCAATTCTGTCATCAGATTTTGTGTGTCCTTTTTGTTCAATTTTTCAATTTCACGTCGTGCCTGATTTTTTTGGCGCTCAGTTATATGTCCACTAAATCTATCTTCGGCTTGATGTATAATTTTTACTGAAGAATCCTTTTCGATTTCTCTAATTCGACGAATATTGAACTCATCAACAGTACGATTGGCCTTCATTAGACGAACTGCTGCTTTAGCTTCGACTGGTAATGTATTTTCCATAAAACTACGAGATTCAAACAATTGGATATCTTCGGCAGTACATTCACCAGTTGGAATGCGATTTAGTGCTTGTGCAAATCTTAAGTCATCACGTTGTCGCATTACTCGTGGCAGTTTATAATACTGGAAAAGTGACCATTGGGGATTATCAACCAAAATTGACACTGAACTTCCTTGCCGACTGTTTCGTGGCTTGAAAGGCATCGCGCCGCCAACTGGGGCCAATTGATTAAAATCGCCAACTGCAATAACAGATACTGAACCAAATTCCGCTGTAGTACGACGTGTTTGCTTCAATCTCGAACTTATTTGATTTAATAATTCAGCCGGTAGCATGCTGATTTCATCGATAATTATCAGTTTCAAATGTTGAAGACTTGCTGCCATTGAGTTGGCCTTATCTGGGGGAAGCATTTTCTCTGCATCACCTATAGTTGGTACCAAACAAAAAGCTGCGTGTGCCGTTACACCACCTATGTTATGAGCAGCCATACCAGTAAAAGCCACCAAAAGAACTTCGTTTTCCTTCGTTTGACCTGGTGACATTCTAAAAATTTTTATTATACTCTGGTATATGGCACTGATAAGGCGACTTTTGCCGACACCAGCTCCACCAGTGATGAAATGATAAACAGGTAAGTCTTTTCCATCTTTAAAAACGCTAATCAGATGCATTAAATAATCTCTTTGCTCAATATTTAACGAATCACACAAATTTAGGTATTGATCATCACTTAATAACTCTGGCACAACATATTTAGTGGTCAATTCATGTCTTGAGAGTTCTCCAATTTCAGTTTCAAGATCTGGTCGAATTACATTGTCGTCAAATTCATATACGTTCAAGAAGTCTGGATTTTCATCTGGATTATCAGCAGCATTAGTTTCCGCTTCTTCTTCAGTGGCACGACGCTCATCTTCAATTTCTCGTAATATATCAGTAAGATCCAGTTCAATAGCATTAAATTTAGTGTAGTTTTCTGAGATTGTTTCGCGGTTATTGATATAAACTAAGGCACAATCTGCATCTTCAATCTCAGATTTTTCATCTCGGAATGGTCTGAACAGCAGGCACATTTCTCTTAGGGCATTTTCCTCATCCTGCTCCATATTGAAACGACAATACCGAATTACCTTGGGAGACTTCCGTTCAGTGATCGTGCCAGTTCCATCTCTAAGTTGAAACTTCCTCAATTTCCTTGTGACCGACTCATCATCAATAGTTGGAATTGCTTCGATATCATTATCGTTATTCTCGTTCTCCACAACAGCAACTCCTGCTTTCAATTTGAATGTGAAGTTAGCAACAAATTCTGCTAAACAGAGGGACTCCAGTTCATCCGGTCGATTTTCATAATGTTCAATAGTACCTTTCTTATATATGTCCGTACTTTCAGGATCCTTTGCTACCAAATCTTGAAGTTCTTTGTTTGATTTTAATATTCTTGTTCGTGTCTACAATTAAAAATAGAATAAAAATCACTAAAAAAAAACTGGCAGTGGTAAAATACTTACAGAAGAGTGATTTGTGTTGATGAACTCAACACCATCTGAGCAACGAGCCATTGCAAGATGAAGTCTACACCAAGCAGCTTCCTGAGCACAAATTTCAGATGAATTATACATAATATGTGCCAAAGACTTGAGTTTCTCTTTGAGAGTGTAGTTTCCTCTTTTTGCTTGGTCTATACATTCTCTTAGCAATCTTGACAATCCTCGTGATGACTTATTGACATAATCTACTATGTAACCAATGCATGAATATGGGTCGAGAACATACTGAATATCCATATTGCTGCGCATGCATAAAATAATTTTCTTATTGTACACATTTATTCTTGTGTTTTTTGGCTCTCGCTTAATGAAAATTGTTGGATGCTTTAAGCTGGTACGAGCAGCGAGAAGATATTCTTCAAAGCTACAATTCGATTTTATCATTAAGTCGTGAAGCGTGCCAATTTCTTCAGGAGTATCATCTAGAATTTCATTTAGCCTTCCATTCAATTCTCTGATTTTAGTTTGCACTGCCTTGTCCAAATTCTGATCAATTGGATACAAAATACGCGTTTTATCCATAGGACGAAATGGTGCACCAAATCGGCATGATATTTTTCCTCGTGCTGTTTTCTTACAAGTTTGGCTGCATCGATGCCATTGGTTTTTAATAAAATCTTGCACATCGGGATCATTAGTGTCAGTTGTCGAAACCATGTCAATTAACTCTGCAACTTTCCTCTCTGATTCTTCATCATATGGCATGAAAATTGGAGCATCTTTTAGCCAAAGTACCATATGTACGTGCGGTGAGCCTCTGTGTTGGAATTCTATCCTATAGAAATAGTGCTCTATGACATAATGTCCAAATGGACCATCCTCAACACCGTGCCAAGTTTTTCGCAGCTCTTTGAATCGATGATCAAAATATAAGGCGCAAGTAACTGGATCTGTTCTTATCAATCGTGCCTTTTCATCAAATGTCAATTGGCCAGCTTCATCCTCAGAAATCTCTTCTTTATCCACAGTTTTCTTAAGAATTACTAGCAATTCCTTCCAATGAGTTTCTGCAGACGAGAGGGTGAGAAAGATCGTGAAAATTCCGTATTGTCGTACCATAGCAAGTACTTTCTTTTTCTGTTGCTCCCAATAGGCTGGGCTTCCGGTAATTGAGGCAGTAAATTTATATGCATGATCATCAAAAATTGACTGTTCGATATATTGCTTGTTTGTGACTTGCGATGCTGTGATCTCATGAGTTTGTGCACTTTTTCTGAACACGATATTCATCTGGCCCATGAGTTGTTTTATTTGACTCTTTTTGTGCATAAAAAGTAAATGATCAGCACGGCATGCTCTTCGATCATAGCGTTGCAATTCTGATTTGACAATGTCTTCGTATGATAAACGAATTCCAGAATGTTGTGGTTTTCTAGGATGTCCGAAATATATAGTCGGAAATGCTAACTCTTCACAATAGGGATCCATAAACATAGGAATTGGTATCTGTCCTTCACCTGCGAAATTGGCACTATGTTAAAAATTACTTAATAATTAGGCACGACTTACCCGGAGCAAATTGAATGCCTTCATTTGAATCCAAGAGTGTCTCTTCTTCAATGTAATTATCCTCAGCTGGTACGAATTCTGTGTCAGTTTCCAGTAAAATATTTGTGCCATCTTGTTTTGAGTTTGGCACCACGATTTCAGCATTTGTCTCATCTAAATTAATTGTAGGAGCATTCACATCTGAAATCATATTAGAATGATCTGCCATTTGAGGGTGAGGATTAATTTCAATATTTACCATTTGATTCGTATTTGGGATTCAACCCAATTCCTTCTCCAATATAGAGCGGTGTTTCCGTCAACATTTTGGCTGCCTTCCATATGATTGCTGGTCTAACTCGCTCTTTCATGTAGACAGATCTGTAGCACATCTTGCGTACAAGAGACAATTCAATAATTCCGCTGTCCTCTGGTCTTGCTGGAATTGACTCAATTGTGCGACGTACATCTATTGGCACGTTAACTACACCAGATTTGATTCCAATTTGTCTATCACAACCAAGCGCTACCAGCTTCATGAATGGAATTCTTGCTGCTACACATCTTTCTTCCAATGGAGTAATATTCATATCCAAAAATTCTTGTGGAATCGTAGGAAAATTTAAATTTGAGTTATTGATATTGAATCTTGGATATCGTTTCTTTCGAATGTAAGTCATGCAAGTGGCACAAAAATTATATTCATCCAATTGACACAGTTCATGAATAATCAATGTTTTTAAATAATCGATATCACAGCCTTTAGATAAAAGAGATTCTTTGGTGGTTTTAACGACTTGAGTTTTAAATAATAGTTTGTCACAGCTAAAGCATCGGTGACATGGTCCATCCTTGATGTTTTCATTATAAATTACAACAGCATATTTCCATGGTTTCAATTCACCGCGCTTTGCTCGTCGAGTGGCATTGTCTCGGGCCAATTCGTTTGAGTTACAAACTGGATCAGAACGTCTAGCACGACGACTTATATCATCTTGTGTCAACCGATTTGCGTTGTAAATTGGATCAGATCGTCTGGCACGACGACTTACATTATCTCGTGCCAAATCATTTGCGTTGTAAACTGGATCAGATCGTCTGGCACGACGTGATTCTGTATTACACAAATTGTCAGATCTTGAATATTCTGGATCTTGTCTTCGATTTTGTTTTTGCACTTTGGCACCTTTTCTTTCAACTCTTCCTGTTAACGTTGCCTTTTTTCGCTTTGGCATTATGAGGCACGATGTGCTAATTTTTTATTCACAGTCGATTGCACTTTAAACTATAACGTGCGGTTCCGTATCGTTGAATGCGACTATAATGTACGTTGTTTTGTTTCGTCGAACGTTACAATTTGATTATCTACGAGAACCAGATTAAGTACATGATCGCTTATCGTAAAACTTACCGAACACCTACAAGTCTACGTCTTCCGTTCAATCGGACTCCCTTTTCATTTTTCAGACACAGATAACTTGACGAATAATCAGGATTGCCTTTGCTCTGCCATCGTTCATTGCGACTCCTTTACGTACTACACAAACCCAAAGGTCATTGCACTTACCTCTCCCTAATCAATTCTTTCCGTTTCTTCTATTACTTTCACCAAACTACTGTGTTGATTTTGTGGACTTGCTTTGAGATTATGTTACACAGTTTGAGATTTTGGCTGCGTTAAATAGTTCATGTTAATTCATTACAATTGACTTGAGGGTAGGTACGTCTACTTCTGTTTGTAAAACAAATCACAAACAAATAAAAATAATGTTGTGTTGTTATACAGGTGGCGCTATCTAACGGTGAAATTATAGCACCTCCGAACACCATATCGAAATTATTTTCTTAAATTATCGATTTCACAAGTAATCTAACTCAAAATAGACTAGAGCCTGCACATCTACACTATAGCAGAAAGCTTTTAGTGAAAATTTGAAGTCTCTAGCTATTGTAGTCATTGAGATCTCAGGCGGACAGCCGGCCTGCCAGCAATGACGAATATAATAGCGTATTTTTTTCAAAAATGCGCTAAAAATAATATCCAGATCAATTTACAAGTCCAATTTTCTTGCATATGTACTGGAATACATTCTTTGACAACCCCTTTGTCATTATGTCGGCCTGTTGCTCTTGCATTTTAATATAACGAAGATTGATGATTTGTTTCTCAATGCAATCACGAATGAAATGATATTTTATATCAATATGTTTTGTTCGTTGTGAAACCTTTTCACCTAAAGCGATTTTTATAGCTCCTTGATTGTCTTCATGAATAATCGTTGGTCCATCCAGAGATATACCAATTTCACATAATATACCACGGTACCAGATAATTTCAGCAGCAGCAATCGCCAAAGAAATGTACTCTGACTCCGTAGTTATAAAGCAATGGACGTTTGCTTTCGTGCTGTCCATCCAACTGTTGAACCAAACACTTTGATTATATTTCCTGAAATCGATTTTCGCTCATTTGATTCACTATCATAATCAGCATCGGCAAATCCCTCCAATACTGGTGATTTATAATGGCAGTTGTATAATAATCGCAAATCAAGAGAACTTTTGACATATCTTAATATTCGTTTTGCACCAATCCAATGTTCATCAGTCGCACATGACTGGAATTGGCTGAAGTAACCGACAGCGGCACATAAATCAGGTCTTGTTGCATAAGCTATGTACATAAGACAGCCAATCAGTTCACGATAAGGTTTCTTCGTGAATTCTGATTCACTGCGTGTGATCTTCTTGGTTTGAATCTCCATTGGTGTGGCAACCGGATTGCAATTATTCATGTTGAATCTACGTAGAACGTCTTCGAGATATTTGCGTTGACTTAAATATAATGTCCCAGCATCACGGTTTCTTTGGATATTGATGCCAAGGAAGGTTTTTATTTCACCCATATCTTGCATCTCAAATTCGGCTGCAATCAAACGCTTAACAATCAAAATCTTATCCAAATTCTTTCCAAGCAAAATTAAATCGTCCACATACAATAAAAGTAAGATCATACTTGCCCCACTGCCCATCAAGTACAAACATTGATCATATTGCGAACGTAAGAAACCAATTCTTACAACAAATGTGTGAAAACGCTCATTCCAAACTCTTGACGCTTGTTTAAGTCCGTAGAGAGACTTATTCAATTTGCACACCAATTTGCCTTGGACAAAGCCATCGGGTTGCTCCATATAAATGTCCTCTTCAAGCTTGCCATTAAGAAAAGCAGTCTTCACGTCCATTTGGTGTATTTCCAAATCTCGCTCAACCGCAAGCGCCAGCAAAAGACGTACAGTCGTGATTTTCGCCACCGGTGAATAGGTCTCATTGAAGTCAAACCCCTCTCGTTGCGTGAACCCACGAGCGACCAACCTTGCTTTGTACGTTTCCAATTCTCCTGCAGCATTCCGCTTCCTTGAGAATATCCATTTACAAGTAATGACAGCACGGTTGGATGGTCGTTCAACAAGGGACCAAGTTTCATTTCTTTTTAAAGAATTCATTTCTTCATTGATCGCTTTCATCCATTGATCAGAATCATTTCGTTTTGCAATGTCTCCAAATTTCATGGGAACATCATCAATGAATGCTATTGCATTTAGTGCAAATGCAGAGAAGCATTCGTCTGTATTAAATGAACATGTGGATAGATAATTTTCATGCTCATTTTTTCCTCATCTGCCATTTGATTGATGTGTAATGTAATTCAAATTTCTAAGTTTCGGCTCACAAACGTTTTTCTTCAAACTGCACCAAAAACCAACCACTTCACAATGTGCTGAGATAGCCCATAACCTCTTGTTTTAATGTGGAAGATGAATACAAACTAATTCAATCAAATGATAACTTTCTATTTTATTTATTAATTGACAATTACCCTCAGCCGACTACTATCTATACATTCTAACAAATTTAACTAAAAACAAGATATGTGGAAATTATTGAATCGCCACTCATTTATCGCACATAGATTCTAAACTGAAGAGCTTTGATTAACGTAATCCCGCTCCGGCAAGATGGGTAATCCGCCCCTGGTTTCGAGCCTACAGTTGAATGTCGAAGACAATCACGGAATTAGGTGTCGTATTTCAAATGGTTACAGTTTTTACCATTCCCGTGACTGCTTCATTCACGGAGAAAATTGTTAGTTATAAACAACAAGTCAGTACATATACATCAAACACATATTTATATATTCCACATATTAAAATAAAATGATCAAATCTTATATGAATGTTATTTCAGGTACAAGACCAATTGTAATCAACATCAATAAACATAAATTAAGCAAGCATTACACCAAAAACGAAAACAATTACAAACAATAGCATATATTCATCATCATATCACATATGTGATTCTGCATTGCGGTTAAACCAAGTAAATTTCAAAATCAAAGATTCAAACACACAAAAAATATGAAAATGTGGCATACAAAACACAAATACGATATAAAGAAATGCAAAGATTACTACCTGGTTTAAAAAAACACAAAATGACGACAAACATTTATGGAGCGACGCGTTCACGACCGCCACTCAAGACCAGATGCCCTAACGTAAGTCGTAACCCCCGTTCGTGCTTTCTAGATGGCGCAGGCAGCTTTTTCCCACCTAGAAATTGCAGGGTTGCCAACTCTCAAAAATGTATGTATCGTCGTAAGTTTTATATACAGGGTGGAACCTCTCATATTTATGTTTTGATCGAGTATAGTAAATATGTGTGCAAGGTAAGAGTGGGTGTCGATACCTTCACTTTTCCAGCTCATGTAGGTGACTAATAGTTGTAGTGAATCTGCGTGGTTATCAGCACGTACCTGGAGGGGTGCTGAAGTAATGTTCCAGTTTTAAAGCGGTGGCATCCACGGTCAGAGTCATTAGTATACGAGCGACTTCCGTAATAGGACTGTGGTCACTTTAATAGGTTTAAATAGCCAGGTTTAACCTATCCTTTTTCAAGTGTTTTCAGTGTTCCAACGTGTGCAGTTAGTGAAGTAGTGCTCCCGTTATTTTTGCTTTTTATCTTTCACTTTTAGTTCAACATTGACACGGTCGTTCTACGGAATTCGCTCGCATGTTAATGTTCCAGTTGCAAATTTCTTTACCCCGTTTTGTAGCAACGTGGTTGGAGACTGCATCCCAATTAATTAGAGCAGACAAGCCCCTTTACTTAGCTACTTAGTAGCAAAAAATAGAAAGATTAACTTATAAAAAATATATTTATTGAATTTGCTATCCTAAAAATAAATACAACAGTCTCGAGCATTTCAAATGAAGAGACCTACTGTTCCAATAATAGTGGTGTCCCTTATATTGACGTAGCTTAAGTGTTTAGTTAGGTCGGCTATGGCCAGCACAATTCAGTATACACCGTTAAATAATTCCATTTAATGTATTTAGGCAGGTAGGTATGTCCCGATTGCTTTTGTAGGTCGTTCAAATACGGATTTGTATCCGTACGTTAATAATAAAAGAATTGCTTTTATACCTACGCGATATCTTTAACATTTACCTTCGCGTACAAAGTGGGCAAATTCTAGACTAATAACCTAGCGAAAGAATGGAAGATGTCGTTTCGCATAATTAACTTAAAATTCCACAAGTTAGTCTGGATATGAAACTCCTGAAAAATGGGTATCCGAATAGTGTATTACCTATTGCACATAACATAACTTACCTTTCTATTCTGTTAACTCCATTATTTGTTTTCAGTTTGGTGGCATCTGTAGTCCTGTCTTCCTTTAAGAAAAGAAAATCTTTTTTAGGTATTTAGACGCAAATCGGCAAATAAATATTAAATAGAATGCGCAAAACAAATGTTTTGAATCTTCCAAAGCGATTGAACAGTTATAGTGCATGCGGACGGACAGACGATCTCGAGGATCGTTAATAACTAAATATGCGGTAGGTATATGGATTCCACCTCTTTTGCGCCTGAAATAATTTACCTGCGCCACCTCTCCAATTTTAAATGTCGCTAACAATCTTGTTGCATCGCGTGAATGTCCGACATTAAGGAATGCTTTTGTTGCACACTTTCCAGCGAACTCCTGTATAAGTTCCACTCCTCCAGGATGCTGCGAATATTACAACAAAATAATTAGTCAGTAGAATGTAGGTATGCATTGGCTATAAGTAGGTCTTTAATTATTTTTGAAATTTTTCAGTCTCGTACAGCATAAAAACAAATCTGCCCTAATTATGATTTGTAGAGTCAGAGCAGAGTGTTTTTGATGAGTAAGTGTTTAATCACGGATTAAACAGAAACATCCGAAGCGCAGAACGAATGTATAGCAGGTCTAGGTGAGTAAGGTATGAGATGCAAAATTAGTGTAGTTTAATCAGAACTAGGACCTACTCACGTCATAATAAGAATCGTATATGAACTTGTAAACATTGTAAATAAAGCCATTTTGTTGAATTACTCAACGGGAGGGTGAGGAACAGTCTACAATTGGTTTTGTCTCCCCCGAGGTTGATCATGGCCAACAACTTCACCAGTCATTGAATGTATCACCGCCGTTCTCGGGCAGATCCTTCGAGCCGACAGGAAGATATCTCATATCGATTGTAAGAACCAACCTTTATAGTCGAACCAAATTTTGTTTTGTGGTACTTAAAGTCATTTGAATTTTTGACTTTTTTGAGTATTGATTGCAATTTTACGTATAAGAATAACCCCTCGTGTCGGACGTTATCCATTGCTTATGCGATATATTGTGCAACGCGAATCTTATTTTTTTGTTTGTGTGTCTGTCTGTTTACAGATTTGCAGTTTCGCGCCCTCTTGAGCTCAACAGGTTGCGACCGGAAATCCACAGGTAAATTTAATTTATTTTCGTCGTTTTTCCCTTTTAACGTTTGAATACATTTTGGTTTTCGATACTAGCGAATTGTGATTATTATTTTGTTTTAAATTCACTTAATGATTATAACTCCGTTGTTTTTGCGGAAGCCTATTTTGATAACTATTTTTTCCGACTACGTGTTGATGCCCTTTTTACTAAAGATTATTTTAAATTCCAATATTGACATACCAGATCTATATATTACAGTGTGATATTTTGAGATCATTGCATTAAAACACGATCATTTGTGACATCAAATATTGTTTATGTTTATTGGCTATTCCCCTATATAAGTGTTTGCATTCCTTTTAGTTTAGCAACACAAGGATCTCTTAGTCTGCCTTGGTCTTAAATACTTGTACCTACTTACAAAAGAAATTTCGTAACGTTTTTATTATTTTCATTATTTATTCGGCCAAGAGTTGCAGTCGGGATTTCTTCCGAATTTTTGAAAAATTATTACAAAATCCGAAAGTGTATAGAAAAAATGTTGGGAACCTTTTTAAAAGTAGCTTCCAAACGAAACATTATTTGAAAAAAAAATGTTTGTTTTGGCCCCCTCAGTCACTACGATTTTCTCAAATGTAGAACACCCATCACAATCAACCGCAATGAATACGCAAATACTGTTGATAAAGGTTTATTTAATTGTTAATTTAAATTTGATGAAGTAATATCGAATTAATATAGCTAAAGGTCAGTTCGTTGATTATCGTAATAATGACTAATGCGGGGAAACCCCCTTGCAGATTATAAAGCCCGGTGCACACATTCGATTTTTTGACGTGCGGCGCCGCCCGGTGCGACACCGCAACGGCAGCCGCAGAAATTGATTAAACAATGCCGTTAAATAACGAAGTCCCCAAGGGTACCGGACAACTGTGTGCCTTGCACGATATAATTGAATGTATCAAGTACGCACGTCAAAACATCGACTGTGTATACTGCGCCTAAGTTGCAGTTAATTAATTAAAAATTCAAACCTCACCTCATCTTTTGCCAAGAATTCTGTCACGTCGTACACGCAATCTTTGAAAATGATCCAGGTTTCCATTTTGTTTTTACCATCGTTTTGTTTTATTTCGTCAATTTTGTAATACACCGTTTCAGTCATCCTTGTTTTTACATTAATTCACTTAATTAATATTCTCCGACAATGCTGTGTGCAGTGAAACCGGTTAGGTACCTACTGAGTACTGTTACTGAGTGAAATTGCAAAATGCAAGTACTAAGTAGGTAAAGTAACTAATCTCAAACTGTAAGTACCTAACTGATCATAAAGACGGGAAGTTTGTATGATTTTAGTGTAATAATTTTCCGGGAAACCCAGTTATATTGTTAATGACTGTTTACATCATTGTATGGTGATTATTTGTGTTCCATTAATTTGGTCTGCTATTATCTCACTCTGTCATTCGTAGTATTGCGTTTGGCATTCGATTAAATGATATGTACACTTGAGAATTGAGATAGTAATTATTTAGGTAAACAGTGGCAGGAAGATAAGACATGCTTAGGGGTCATATTTATGTCATTGATAATAGAATTATACTATCTGGGTAAAGGTTCCCTGGATTGTTTACTTGGAATGTGGGATGTGTAAACCCCAGAACGTTACTTTCGCTAATTTTGGCATAATCTTTAGGTAGTTGCTTATTGGGCAGGCAGAAAGAAGAAATAGGAAGAATAGTGTAGGTTGATACAGGCTATACTTTGAGACAACTGGATTTGTTTTTATGCTGCCCGATTGCTGTTAGGGGATTTTTTCCAAAGAAATTTCCCTTATGTGCTGCTTTTGCCCGAGCGTCTGTTCCTCGTCTAGCTACAAAATGAAAAGAGACAGCGATGTCAAACATTCGCCAATCGATTTCTACGAGTAGGTACCAATGCTATTGAAGGTAAGCCGCATTAAAAGTTTTGTTTCTGAATGCGAACTGAGTGCCAAAAAATTCCCCTAATGAAAATCATATTATCCGTATCTTGGTTTAGGTGGAAACTCTTGCAAAGCAGTTGATTTGATTTTTTATTCAAGTTGAAGCTTATATCAACAATGTTAAGATTTTTATTGTGACAAATAGGTATACAGTTTCTGTTTAATGCACATTAATTATTTTGTACGAGTGCTAGTATACAGTATCTCCTGAGAGGAGACTTAACTGGCCATCTTTTTCAATTTTTGGAAAAAATACATTCTTTGCAAAAAGTCCAGCTTGGTCTAAAACCCTAAATGCACCATTCAAGTTTAGTTTGAGAGGTTTGAACCAAATCTCGGCACATAGGTACTGTGCACTTTTTGGTATTTACTATCCACGTTATTCCCGCTTTCACACGGCGACGATTCGTGTTCGTTATTAACCAGCTCCTAGCGAGTTTATAATTTTGCGGTGTCCGTCCGTCGGCCCGTCCGTTAGCACGATATCTCGAGAACGAATGGATGGATTACAATAAAATTTTGTAGGCGGATTCTTTATCAAATTTGTAGATCGGAGTTCGTGAATTGGCAATGTAAGCTCAAAAAATAAGGAAGGCCCTTTTGACATCTCCGTCAGTTATGAATCGAATTGCATGAAATTCAATATGCGTATAGCTTTAGCCATATAAAAAACAATTCCAAAAATTGAGCCTAATCGATCAACATTTACAGTGCCCTTTTCGCATCTCGACCATTTATAAACCGAATTGCAAACTTTTTTATTTATGAAGGTATTTAAATGAAATTTGATACATAGCCACTTGGAATAAAAAATTTAACGCCAGTTTCAAAATTTGGTTTTGCGCATGCGCAGTGCCAACTTTCTAATTTATGGAGGCCTTCAAATTAAATTTGATACATAGCATAGTCACTTGGAATAAAAGTAATTATAGCGCGATTTTCCAAATTTGGTTTTGTGCAGGATGTGTAGTGCCAACTTTTTTATTTATGGAAGCAATTAAATGAAATTTCAACATATGCACTTGCAGGGCCGGCTCTCCCATATAGGCGAACTAGGCGACCGCCTAGGGCGCAAGGCCCGAGGGGCGCATCCCGCATGGACGATTTATCGTGAAATCATTTTGCCAAAATGGGTGATACAAAACCCAAAAATGCTGCTGTATAACATTTGCGATATATCCCAAATTGGGCGACTTTGAAAACACTTACGGCGACTTCTTAAATTTAATTCCTTAGTATAACTTTTATTACAAAGATTACACATTCACATTCATTTTGAAATGCGTATACTACTGTGTAATAGGATATTAAAACTGAGAAGTGCAATTTGCAAATTATGAAATTAAAGGGTACTATCATTGTATAAAATACGATACGTAATCGCAGCGCCTTACTACTTGAAGCCATTGAATAGTGAAGGAGTTGGATGCAGCTTATTTTATACCTTCCGCCTTTTGTTCTTATGCAGTTATGCTTATTTATTTGCATTATTGCATTTTACATGTAAATCTTTGCGATTTTAAAAGGCCGCAAATTTTGCGATTTCGGGCGATTTCCAGGGGAGGGGTGAAGAAGTGAATATATCTAAAAATAAATTGTTAGTAAAAAGTAGTTATTTTTTCCTATCCTACTGTGTAACGACTGCAATAAAAACATTGGTAGTGGAGGGCGCCGAATAATATTTTCGCCTAGGGCGCCAAATTTTCTAGAGCCGGCCCTGTGCACTTGAAATAAAAACAAAACTAAGATCAGGTTTAAAATTTGGTTTTGTACGTGCTATAGCCATACCCAGAAGCTCGTTTTCTATACTTGTTGAGTTTATTTATTATAACGAATCGCTATATTTTGTTAAATAGCATCAATACCTTCTACGCCCAAGTTCACACGATCACCACCAGCTTCTCAATCAACGTCCTCAGTCGATGTCTTAATGGCGAACGATCAATGTTTCAAATCAGTATTTATACCCTTACAGGGTTAGCTTATGTCGATACTGGTGCAATGAGAGATATTGCTGGATATAAGTTGTTTGTATACCTACCTGATGGAATGCAATTTTTCCTTCACTATTGACAGGATCGACAACACCCTAGCAGATGGCTGTCCCCGCCAAGTTGGACTTCCACTTTCATGGCTGTGCCAGAGCATGCAGATAGCAACACTCTCTTGGGCATCAACTTTCTCACTTCAGCAAACGCTGTGCCAAATATACTTAAAATGTAGTGGTGGTTTGAGGATGAGCCACACACTAGACACACATTTCGCTTTATCCCCGACTCGGTTCCAGTCACACCTTCTGAAACCGATGCAGACTATATGTTGACGTTAATGACGCAATATGTGCCCGAGCGACACACGAACGTAAGCAAGATAATGCCAAGAAGTACGCGGATCAAGCTCGACGTGTTTCGTTGCGTGTACCTTGCTTTGGGTGATTGTTGTGGCACCTTTGTTGGTATAGAGAAAAATATCACAGTTGCTTTTGTCGTTGAAATGACAAGTTGGTCTTTGCGAAAAATATTCATTTGGATGGGAAAATTCCATAGTCATTATGCTAAAATTGTTTAAATTAATTAGCTATGCGTCTTTACGCGAATGGAAGGATGGTTGTCTCTTTAGGTAAAGTTATCTTCATAGAATTCTTCTTTGTTAACACGTTTCCTTTTAGGTCATGCCATATGTGTTTAATTACCTATCTCCGTTTCATTTATATCGCAATCCGAAACCCATTTATTAATGAGGTACGAAACTTCGAATAATTGGAATTAGGTCTGATTTTTGCATTGTAGTTTTTGGACATATTTTTCTTTGTACGTTACAAGCATATTGGGATGATCGTACTAAAGAAATACCGTGTTCTGTTTGAAATGCAAACACTCACTTTCGAATTGAAGAGTGCTACATGTCGATTAGCTGGAACTGGTATATTGCATTGTATCTAAGATCGAAGAATCGCTAAGCTTGATTCTCAATTACCAAACGTGCAGGTAACCTTATTTTGATAATCGCTCTTGTCGTTAGTTTATTTTTGCCAATGCCCTGACGAATTGTTCGGACACACAATCTTCAAAACGGTGTAGATAAGTACTTCTAGCACACGTGATGACCGCTTGTTCTAAACAAAGTCAAAAGTTACAAATAAATATAACAGTGATAAGATCCTAAATCTGTACAGTCACAATATTTTACTACAGAATGGAAGCATAAACCAAAATAAAACATGGAATAAAGCTTAAAGTACTAATGTATGTAACAATTTAAAAGAAAATCCGAACTAAACCGCTTTGACTTAAATTTTGAATGTTTAAATTTGCATAGGTAATAAGTTACACAGATTTGTAGGCATACGATACTCAAAATGTCCCATCATTTTCTGTCCTCCACAGTAGCGGATAACGTAGAGTCAATAATAAACTGCTTTAATAACTCAAATGTGGTTTTATACAAATGCGAATCGTGCTTAACGGATTAAAGTAAAAAGTGGATGATCCGGGCAATTACTTCACGGACAAAGAACCTTCGCGTAATCTACAAACTGTGATGATGAATAAATGTTTAAAATATTAATAATTCAGGGCGAACCCTTCACAAATCACGACCAGAGTACACAAAAGAACTAAATGGTATTTCCAAGCACAACTTATTTTCTTAGGAGAAATAAAACGCTCTTTTAAAAGTCTCTATTTTAAATTCCGAAAGATATCTGTTTAAAAGTAGCTTTTTATATTTCGCATTCTAATTAAGGAAATAAATTATGTCGCACGGTTAATTTGCCATTCCGAATAGTTACCTACTCGCTGCGAAAGATTTTCATTTTTTTTTCTGCAGAGTGATTCATTGCCTTATTTAAGCTTGGGCAATAAAAAAACAATTACCTTCACCGGTGCTAGTGCACAATGTACTATAGCATTGGACTTATAGTAGGTACAGGTACAGGCAGTAAATACTGAAAGCGTATTATGAACATTCTTAGACGAAGTTACAAGACTGCTTTTGTTGTTTAAAAAAATCTAATTTTAGGTGCTCCATTACGAACCCCCTTCTCACGATCTGGGGTCATATAATTGTCAAAATAAAATGCATAAACTCTATGAACTCGGTTGCAAAAATCCCTAAGTGACCATTAAATCATCGACATTCCCTTTATGATTATCTTAAATGTGTTGAAAATTTACTAAAGCGCTGTGTACATAAATGGGAGAAAGTTTATTAACTGAAACTCTAGTATGATAAGTACTCAAAGTATTTGAAGTAGTCCTCGAAGTACCTTTCGAAGTAGTACAGAAAGAATGAAGCTCAACGGTAATCGTGCATGCGCACATTACATGCTTTTTTGTCCGCACC